ACCACGACGTGTTTCTGAGGGCATGCAGTTTTGTATCTTGTCTGGAGATCGGCCGCGTGTCGCTTGTACGGAATTCCTCGTCAGCGGCTTGTTATCGAACATAGTACACGACGTTTGAAGTATTTGCCGTGTTATGACACACGCCTCACAACTAAATAACAGTGTGCGCGTAAAAAGGCTATCCAACGTTATTTCTGCAGACGGATAGATTAAGACTTCGCATTAACCCAGCACTGGCCGGTCTCCCCAGCGGCACACCACTGACCGAAGCCGGCAGATATGGATCTCATACTTATCACAATAACGCCCAGACCGAATTCAAAAAGTGTATCAGGGACACAGGTCAAGGTCAAAGTCTTAAAACATTACTTTGAGCTATCTGACCACTCCCAGAACGCATTTAAACATGTTACATGGAACGGTATCCAACGTTTGGCGCGCCACACCAGGCCTCCCACCAAGGTCGCGTCCCGTGCAAATGTGAGCTGAAAGCTTCGTTTGTCTTGATATGTCTGTTCTGGTCTATTTATTTCCTTTATACTTGAACCAAATAAACGCGACGTGGGAGAGCGTAGCTGCAGTTATGGGCATCACACACGTAAGAAGCAATAGCTCTTACTTCAGTTAGTTCATAAACCTCCAAAGTCAGGGTTAAATTTGATGACCCTGGTAGTGAATAAGCGGTTGTTTGCACGTTCACAGTTTGAAACTAAATGATATATGTTGAAATAAATTGTAAATTATAAAATTTCATCGGGAAAGCAAATGCACTTCAGTTAAAGTAAAACCAAACATAAGTACTCCTCCGCGCACCATTTAAGAAATTGGAACTCAACCCTTCCCCAAATACGCTGAGACGGATAGCCTGCTGTTGGGATTTCCTTTCCCCGCTCGTTCCAATGAACACATTGTGAGCCTGCTGTACTCCTGGGGTACACTGTTCCGAGGTCCTTGGCCTCTGAAGGGGAAACGACTCTCTCTCGATCCGGTTCGAACGGGAAACGACCCGCTCCCGATCCGGTTCGAGCGGGAAACGACCCGCTCCCGATCCGGTTCGAGCGGGAAACGATCCTCTTTTGATCCGGTCCGAGCGGGTGGCAAACGAAACTCCGTCATGTCAATGTCATGCGCAATGCGCGTTGATAGTAACAGCGGTACTCCTTGAGCCGGATGTTCAGTGACCATGACGCTACATTCCTGTACGCATACTCAGTGCTCAATGAGCTCGCCAACGGTTAGCCAGCCTGACGACACCCGGAGTCCGAATGACACTGACGATTATCGTACGTGCGAGGGTTCACTGCCACAGGCCGAAAAATGCTTGCAAACGGAGGACCCGCGCAGCACCCACTGCGCCTACAGCAGTGATGCTGTAGAAACACATTCAGCAGCACTAGCAATTGCAGTGTTTGACGCATGAGGTCTTTTGGATGATGCCACATGATAATGACGATGATCGTATATATGGTGATGTGATAATGTGTGATACAATAGCACAGCTGGAAGCACTGGAAGATAACGTTGCTTTGAATTCGCGGGGTAATAGCCTCATGTTTGTATGCTTTCTTCTTCTCTAAACAGAGTATTTCCAGCGTCCGGAACATTTCTTACACAAGCATTTGGCAAATCAGCGTGATGAAACAGTACAGAAGACATGCGAAGACATGCGGAAAACCATGGCAAATGTAATTTATTACTTTCATAGTGGTGAGGAGGGAGTCTTAAGATGCTCCTTCCATATGAGGGGCTTCTTCAAAACGATATTCTGGGCTGTTCAGAAGGATTTCGAGAAAATTGGAACCACCGATCAAATCGGACGCACCTGATCTAACAACTAGTGACAAGTTCAGAGAAGGTGGCATGCTCCCTTTCAGTCGCGTGGCCAGAGCATTGGCAAGTGAAGGCTGAAGGTTGGCAAAGAGCTCCTGTTAGATAAAAGACCCCCTAAAAAAATCGCCAGACATAGCCTTTTTGCTAGCGAGGATATACTTTTCATTCACATTTTTGTCATTGTTTCCTTCTATAGCCGGAATAGAAGCCAGAATCTGCAGCAAGATAAGCTGTGACTGAATTGTCCAGTCAATACACTGAAGAGACCATGAGTTGAGCAATTTAATGGAATAAAACGCTGGCGATCTGTATTTTGAAATGTTCCAGTGGACTCCTTCTAAGCCGATAGAACTTATGAGCTTTGTCATAATTTTGTCTGGATTCTACAGAGATATTGGGGGACCCGCGAATGTAGCTTGTAGATCGGATGGGTCAACAGTTTGTATTAACTTTTCAGACCATGTCTGAAGAAAATGTTCAACACTCAGCCAGAATCGATTAGTGATACGAATGATGTACGTTGTTTTAAACATGCGCGCTCCCAAGACTTAGTAACAAAAACCTCCACGCCCGGCGTGGGCAATCTCCGTGGGCGGCGCAGCGTCGGCCCGGTGGCCAACTTCGGCCCCCTCAAACAAAGCCTACGACTGACACATGACCTAGCCTGTTAGGCACTGTAGGCACTTCAGTGCCTGTTAGGCACTTCAGTGCCTGTTAGGCACTGAAGCCGCTAGCTGGCACATGACCCCCTGTTAGGCACTGTAGGCCCCTGACCGACGCAGGGGCCCAGCCATTGTTTCAGGGATCCAGGCCAACGTAACTCGGGGCCGCGGCCTCACTCTTGCTCCAGTGTTGAGACTGACAGGGGTCCCATCGTTCGCTGCTCGTGGTCTCTGGTCGACTGAGACACGTGCGTTGTCTCAGGCGGTCCTCAAACGGTGCAAGAGGACCTCTGGCTGATGTTTAAGGTCGCGACCCAACGGGCCGTGATTCTTTATGCGATCTACAGCCAGTCCTTCGGGCCCTCATGCCCTCTAACCGAGCACTGATCGTCGGCTCGGGCGGGCCGCCCTGGCCTCTCTCCGGGCCTCATCGAACACTGCACTTGGTCAGTTAGGGGCTCCTTGCGAATACAGGACCCTCTGTTAGGCACTGTGGACCCCTGACAGATGCAGAGGCCCCGGCCAGTGTAAGTCGCTATCTCCGGCTTTGTAGATGATTGGGAAGTGGGCCCTCAGGATCATATCGACTCGGAGCTGACTGTGCGGTACTGGCGGTACCTGATCGGCATATAGGCCCATATCGACTCAGAGGTTCCGCGATCGGCGCAATCGGCCATCTGACCGCCATTTAAGGGCCTGTCCCTACAGGCTGGAGACCCTGAATAATACCCGACCAACACTTCGTGCCCCTAATCCCTCCAATCGGGCCCTTGATCGTCGGTCCCGGTAGCTCCTCTAGACTCTTCGGGTCTCCTCAAACACTACCTCTGGCCGACTCGCACCCTCTGCCAACACAAAGCTCCCTGTTAGGCGCTGTGGGCCCTTGGCAGACGTCCCGAAGAATGTAAATCGCTGGCTCCTGCTCTCTCCCTGCTTTGAGAATGGACCCTCAGGCCCAGTGCCGACACTGTGCGTAATGGGTGGTGTCTGACCGCCTTTACGCTCTTATCGACTCGGGGGCCCTGATTAACGCGCAAGTCCCTCCAGATGGCATTGAAGTGCCCAACCCTGCGGTCCGGGCCGCTGGATGCGATCCTCCGGTCGGCCTCTCGGACTTTTCGGGGCCTCACATCAGGCCCCAAAACTGTAGGCCCCGAGGGGCCCTTCCACCCTCGGAACCTAAGAGGGCACGTGTCCCCTGTGCCCCCTGTGCCCCCTGCCTGCCTGCGCCATTGCTCCCTGTAAGGGCCCTGACCCACAGAAACCGAACCCTCAAGTCGGTCAGAAAGCCTCATGCACCGATTGGGGACACCCTGGGACAATGCAAGCCTTTCTTTCGGTCAGAGAACGCCAACACCGAGTCGTCGGTTTTGTGTCGATCTGAGCCCTGAGGACTATTTCCCAAGCAGCGACAAGGCCGGGACTCGCGATGTGCATTGGTTAAGACACTTGAAGCAATGAGATCCCCTTTGTCGGTCAGTGATCTACAGTGCGTAACAGAGGCTCCTGTGTTAGCCAGAGCCCCCCAGTCGCCCAAGAGAATGCATGTTGAACGGAGACAGGAACGGGACTCTTAAGGCCAGAGGGCCTCTTGCGTTGGTCGGAGCCCTCTGACGATGAAGGTGGATAAGGGAGCTTACGATGAGAGTTCATGATGAGGCATTGGAAGGCCCTGTGTGGGTCAGGAAACCCGAGTTCCGAACAGGGCGTTTGCGTCAAAGGGTTGCTGTGCCGACTGAGTTAGCATTCGGCTGTTAAGGGCGCATATATCAGCAAATATTAATCGCCGCCAGGAGCGATTCTCGTGCCATCCAACACGACTCAGGCAGTACCAGAGTCCAAGGAGAGAACAGCCCTCGAGCAGTACTGTCAGGCGCAAAATTGCATTGCACGCGTGCATCATTAATCCGTTTAAAACGCTACCGTTGTGTTGTCTACACGGCGGGTGGCCGCTGTGAGCGATTGCCTTATAAGGCTAAGAGGCTCTTCTAGTTATCATGATTCTCCAGGCTCATTTCGTACTGTTTTCATTCTTATATTTGACTTCGTCTTCAGCTCGTGCGATCATAGCATTTTGTTTCGTTTTTTTAAACACTGCTAGTTTTGTGCATTGAGATTTGTATAGGTCAATGGTTTTGTGCGTCACGTGCTGGGCCAGCAAACGCATTAAACGCCGCGGAGTACATTATCACCAAAATAAGTTCAGCTAACTGGAGATGATATAGTGATTTCTGCAAGCGCAGCCGATTTCTACATATAACATTTGGTGCCAGCCGTGAAATTTTGTGTTTAAAATAGAATATTAGCAAGAGCTGCGCACCTATACGGGTGTTCCGCCTACGTTATGCGCTGCTCGACTCACGGAAAAGGACCCAATCAAGCCTTAGTCTTTCAAGCGAATCAATAATTCCCTCCGTTATGTCACTTTTGATTGGCTAAAAAATGTTAAGGCTAGCCATGTGTTGCGTATGAAATGCCCATTGTGTACGCTGCACGGTGAACCTTGCGTGCAGCTTAGAAAAATCGTGACGACGAGGAGAGCGGGGAGTGACGGGTGCCTTGTTTGTTTCTGTTCGCGAGTTGCGTAAGGCATTGAGCGGTGTCATATGGTCCGCTGAATCTGGAGATTACCGTGAATAATCAGCGGATGTCTGATGTGTTGGTGTGATGGCTCCTCAACATTCCGTTTTCGACTGTAGCGCGGCCACTCGGTAATAGATTGGATGCATTCTTCCCTGCTTTATGTAGGAAGAAAACCGAAATTTGTCTGCATCTGCTTTTGACAGCTGTGAGGGATGGGCATGTGAGTTTCAGTTGAAGATGGGGAGTAGTCGTGTCTTCAATGCATACAGGTGGGTGTGACCTGTGTTAGTTGTCATGCTATTGTGCTTGTCATGCTGTTAATGGAATGCTTCATGTTCCAGATCTAAGTCAATGGTTAAATTTGATTTTATTGCTGTGCATTAAATGCAACCTATGTTGTGCCCTGAAAGGCATGTGGTGCTCCTAACACAAAAGTTGGGTGTGTTTGTACAATGTGCATGCTGACCTCTGCCTCATTACATCACAATTAGCAGACCTATGTAAAAATTCAAGCCATGTATGCAAAATTGGCTTCCCTCATTTTCCTTAAATACCAAGCCCATACATTATCATGGAATTTGTTTATGAGACCAGCACTCATAGTAAGCAGTGTTTATTACATGAGCCCTATAAACAACGAGTCACCGTTCCACCTGAAGTGTTATTTTTCTCTTCCTTGGGTGAGATAATTGGATGGTTGGTGCTCTAGCCAAATGAACTTGAAGAAGAAGATATCAGCTTATTTGGTCATCAAATATTTGCCTGCTAATTTGCCATGAAAACAATTTACAAATATTTTAGATTTTTCATGGCCCTCACCAGCAACATTTGTCTCTATGTTATAACATATTATTGATGGATACTTTCTTAGCCTTTGGATGTTTCTTCTTTCTTCTTTTTGAATACTCATGCCCAGTATTGGGCTACTCAGATAAAACCTGAAGGGACATGAATCCTGAGCCCCTCACTCAATATGACCTGCACCATATGATCCTGCAACGTTGGTTTCCAGTCCACAGAAAATAATCTAGCGAGTAAGATACCCATATTACATCAGTTGTCTCAACCTGGTGTGCATGGCAAGCTCAAGTGTGGTCAAAGTGTGATCAATTATCATATTTGTTTTTATTTCAAGACTGTTTTGTGGCATGTTTGCTTGAGATAACCTTTGCAACAGCATAATTATTTGAAGCATGGGCTCTCCCTACTGTCAAGCTACAGCTGACCATGTACTTAGTGCACAGAGCTCAGATTTAATTGTTTTGTACATATGCTTAGGGTAGCATCTTTTTCTTGCATTCCAGGCTTGTTTTTTCAGAGATTAAATCATATAGGCAGCACTAAGCCTTCCCACCTGCCTACAGGACCTGCACTTTTGGATTTAATACAAGATTTGTATTGCCTATCACATATGTGACAACTAAAGATGTTGTAATAAGTATCCTCATTGATCAACATCCAGTACCATCATTTGCAGCTTGCCAACATTAAGGTCTCAGTATTGTCATGCCAATGAAGCTATAAGGATAATTGGCCATATGCAGGGGGCAGCTGGAGCCTTGGCAAGGGGGGCACAGGGTTGACTGGCCAATTTGTTATTGATAGCATGTTTTTCTTAGATATTATATATATGTATCTTCCATAACTGGAGCATAGGCCAGATTTGATCACAAGATGATGCTGCTTCAAGTGTTTAGTAGATGAGCTGACAAAGTTTTAATGTTAACTGACTGCATGAAGTCAGTCACCAGCACTCTTCACTTTACATTTGTCTAGCAGACTCTTCTTAAACTGATAGTACTTAGAAACTGTCAGAATTTTGATCTGGGTTGTACAGAGATAGCAAGGATTCTGTAAATGTAGATTAAAGAGCAAAGTGGTTAACAATTTGTATTAACATGACTTTACCATGTTTTTGTGGATATACTTTGCTATTATGTGCTGTTCAGTCATAATTGAGTAGTGGCACCAATTATGTAACATAGGGTTTAGAATTCACACTTGCATATCTGAGCAGAAAAAAAAATTGGTGCCAGCCACTGCAGTCTCCCTAGGCTGCCCAGCGTCGGCCCCGCAGCTAGCATTAGGCTGTGGCCAACAGGCGGACGAAAATGATGGCGCATCTGAAAGAAGTATCTTTGAACTCTTTGGGACACCAAATCGTACCTCAAGAGATATTCCGGGCGTATATCTCACCCTGTGCGATTTTTAGATTGATGACAATAACGTGTCAGTCTTCACAGCACCACAAAATGGTGTCAGAGTCAGGTGGTGGAACTAAAAGAGTAAAGGAATAATATCTATCGTCCGTGTTGTAACTGTAAACCTGTCCAGAGGACATCCCCAAAGTTGTGAAAAAGAACTTCGCCCAGTTTCCTTTTTAAGCCGTACGAAATGATTTTGAAAGACATTAAGAAACATGATGTTACGATGGCCATTGTTGCGCGCTCGGCGCCCGCCCCTTGGCATTACTCGCAGTGGCCAACGCCGAGCAGTTTTACGAAAAACTGCAACCCAGGCCATCGCTGTCCTGGCTCCCCGAGATTACGGGCGTGTCATTGAGGCTTAATAATGCGCGCAGCTGCTTGGGCTATGTATGGCGTTGCCAGCCCCTCACCCTGGCGGGAAGGGCAGGGCACCGCGGGGAATCGAACCCGGTACCTCTGGTTTCCCAGACACACAGTGGTTAACGCAGACGCGTTGACCATTGTACTATCGGCACCAGGCGTGCAGTCTCAAACCTTGTGATGACACTTGTTTCCCTAGTTGGTTCTGCAAAATGATGAAGGTTGTCAAGGAAACGTGGGGTGGCTTTGTGCGTTTTGAACTCAATTCGACCCACTCCATTCAACGCTAGCGAGACCCTTTATTTCTTTCCGGTAAAGGAGCCCCTTGAGTACAACACTACGGGGTACATTATTGTTCCTGGTCAAAGGCTGAAGGGCCATTCCGTCCCACCGCGATGTGTTTTCCGGCCGTCATTCTGACGGCATGGGGCGGCATCCCGGGTCAGGCCGGGGGCCCTTAGAGAGATATATCATATCGCATTGGTCCGCTCCCTGACACGGGGGCCTTCCGACCCGCGCGGTCGACCCTGGATCGACGCATGAACCGTCATTAATGCAACAACATCCCTGCTCGCCGCTGGTGGTCAAATAACTGGCACGTAGACTCCAGTTGGGCGTAGTGGGTCCATGCTGGAATAGGGCTGGAGGCCCACTCACCGTTCCGTGCTGGGGGGCCTGACTGAGACAGGAATACTATTGCCTCAATGTGAACACTCATTATAAGTTCTTATGTTTCCTTTAATTATCAGTGTCCCCGACCACCGCAAGAGACCCTGTAACTGTCGGGCCTCCGTCCCCGTCCTTATTAAGCAAATTTTCCCGTGACCGATTCGAGGCCCCTTCTTGACGCGGGTACTGCCCTGTTGGGTACGGCCTTGTCCCTGCTTGAGATATGGGTCTCTTGTCCCAGAGCTGGAATATGGAATAGAACCAATATGGAATCCAGAATCCAGGAGAAATCCAGGAATCCAATATAGAACCAGAACCAATATGGAATCGTCGACAGTTCGTTGCTCGTGATCTTTAGCGGAAATAGAGGAACGCTCTGTCTCAGGAGTCCCTTTCGTTGCAAGAGATAGTCTTACTGACATTTGAGATCACGGCGCTATGGGCGGGGGTCCCTGATATGATAAGGTCCCTGCATCCATCCCTTCGGACTCTTCAGCCATCCCATCGGGTTGATCTTTGGTCCCAAGAGACCCAGTATTGACAAAAAATGGTTCTGGTAGCAGAGTGCAACTTTTCCAAAGTACAAAATTTTTTAGTGTTGTGAGTCATTACACTTTTATTTACATTATCTCTGGGAGCTTACAAGTGCGATGGGTGGTGATCAACAGAAGCGCCTTTTTACTTGTACACGAATTCATGTAAAAGCATTTCAAATGAAAGAAAACATCAGTATTAAGCATGGCACACTGAAGCAACACAGTCTCAAACATAGAACGCATGCATATATATGGGTAGGTAATCTGTGAAAAAGCTTACCATACCATGGATCTAGGTAAGTCTTTTTCTCCCAAAGTATTGGTCTAAGTAGTAAGCATCTTATGTTATTCTCCCAAAGTTACCAACAGGTCGCTTAGTGGGGTTGCGCAGTCACGCAAAATAAGTGCGGAACTGACCAGAGAAAAACAAACTGGAACAGCACCACATAGGTGGTTAATGAAGGACTGGAACAACGAGTGCTGCGTGCTATGTACCATGAACCTTCCCGAGTACTAAGAATGGACTTTCAAGGAGCGCTCTGCGCCGTTGTTGTGCCTGCCGTGTATGGTGTGTGTTTGTGTTTTGCAGCGCGTGGGCGGTGCTGGCGGTGCCGCTGGTGGCGGCGGCCGTCGGCTCGTGTATGATGTGTGTTTGTTTTTTTTGCAGCGTGTGGGCGGTGCTGGCGGTGCCGCTGGTGGCGGCGGCCGTCGGCTCGTCCGTCAGCTGTCCGGACCGGTGTGCCTGTATGGCCGCCTCGGCCACCGTCGTCTGCAGCGACTGGCCGTTGCAGCGGCCGCTGCTGCTGCACGCAGCGCCCGGCACGCGCCTGGTGCTGCGCAACAGCAGCGGCACTGTGCCCGACGACTTCTTCGCCAACGTGACGGGCGTGCAGGCGCTGGAACTGGTGGGCGGCGCCGGACTGCGGCTGGGCGCGCGCAGCCTGGCAGGCCTGCACGCCGTGCGCCGCCTCGCCGTCGTCGACTCCGACCTGGCTGAGCTGGCGCCGCACGTGCTGGCGCTGCTGCCGCGCCTCGAGTCGCTTGACCTGTCGCGCAACCGACTGTCGCGCCTTTATCATCACCAGTTCACCTATAACACGCACCTGCGCCGGCTCCGGCTCGTCGACAACTGGCTGGCCGGCGGTGTGCACGCGGATGCGTTCGAGGGTGCCGAGCGGCTGCGCGAGCTGGAGTTGCGCGGCTGCGCGCTGCGCCGCGCCCCCGGCGCGTGGTTCCGTCACATGCCCGCGCTCGAGACGCTCGACCTCAGCCACAACCGGCTGTCAAGCGTGCGCGTGGCCGACACGCGCTCGTGGCGCGCGCTGCGCACGCTCGACCTCAGCGGCAACGGCATCGCGCACGTGGAGCCGGGCGCGTTCAACGCGACGGCGAACCTGACGCGGCTCGACCTGTCGCGCAATTATATCAGCCGTCTGGTGGGATCGGGTCTGGAGGCCAGCTGGCTCAGCATCAGCAACAACTCGTTCACGGTGGCGAACCGCTCGTACCTCGAGCTGCCGACCCGTCTGCGGGAGCTGCAGCTCTCCGACTGTGCACGACTGGAGCACGTGGGCCGGAACCTGCTGCAGCGCGCGCCGCTCCTGGAGCGCCTCACCATCAGCCGCAACGAGCGTCTAGTGGAGATAGAGCATGGCACCTTTAGGCATCTGGACCTGCTGCGGGACGTCGACCTCGGTCAGAACGCGCTGCAGAAGCTGCCGCGCGGCCTGGCCGCGCTCACTCTCGACCGGCTCGAGGTCGGCGGCAACAACTTCAGCTGCGACTGCAGCCTGCAGTGGTACGTGCGGCGCCCGCCGCCCGCCACCGCCACCGCCGCGGACGCCGTCCGCTGCCGCATGGGCGACTCGACGGTGCCGCTGTCCGAGGGTCTGGCGCACATCTTGTGCCATCCGGTCTCTGTGACGGCGCACCAGAGGCAGGCGTGGTCTCCGCACAACGGCACGGCGGTGCTGGCGTGCCAGCCGGCCGGCCAGCCCACGCCGGCGCTCACGTGGATCACGCCGCAGCGGTACGTGTTCCACTGGAGCCCGGCCGGCTCGGCCTCGGGCGACGCGCGCCACCCGCCGCGCCACACGGCGACGCTGGCGGCGCACCACGAGCTCGACCATTACACGGTGCTGCCGGACGGCCGGCTGCAGGTGTCGCCGGTGGCGGCGCGCCACCAGGGCCGCTACGTGTGCCTGGCCGAGAACGACGCCAGCGCGGCGGCCGCCAGCGTGTTCCTGACGGTCGGCGTCAGCAGTCTGCACGACGTGAAGATGATGGCGCTGCTGATGGCGCTGACCGGCTGCCTGACCGCCATCGCCTTCGCCATCGTCGTCCGCCTCAGCCTGTACATCTTCTGGAAGTGAGTGGCCGCAGCCGCCTCTTGCGGGGTCGGGTCGGCGAGCGTCCGTAGGAGCAAAATTAGGTTCCCAACACTCAACGATGTGTTCATTGGACGAGCAAACAAACACGTCCGATGGCGTAGGTCACCTGTCGAGCATTTTCATTCTCAGCATTATCTGTTCATGCATGGCCGATTCTGAAAGCACAATTTGTCCCATGCAAATGGTCATTGGTCTACCTGTCTGAATATATACTGGCCTCAGTTCAGGCTCCAGAAACAACCCACTGAATCCACACAAACAACACAGCACACAACTAACGTTCGGGAGCAAGGACTGGATGGAGTCAGCTGCTGCCTGTTTACTGTGATGGACACCCAAGCAGCATTGAAGGCGTACGTAATTGTAATGCTCTGGATGTGCTGCATGTATGGTTAGGCTGGTTGAGAACCAAAAGATTAATGCTTCATGCAGCCCAAGATTTGGTGAATGAGTTGACGCTATCATGTTTACATTGCTGAACAGCTGTCACGCCGTAATATTGCATACACAGTTAGCTGGTATTTCAGCTGAACATCTGCTCTGGATGCAGGCCGGTACCAATATAAGCGATATTTGCCCCTTTTCGGTCTTCAAATGAGCCATGTTCGGCTAGGAATCTCACGTAGCAGCTTTGCTGACAGCTGTTTCATCATCGGTTGGTATGATTTGAAAGCTTTATTACTTGGAGATACTTGCTATGACTTGCTGTTACACTGGCATACCAAATGTGGCGATAACTAACTAAACAGTTGTACTATTTAGTTTGTGTTATGGTGCGCTGTGGCCCCGATAACAGTGTCCAATATACGCTTGCTGTATCGTAAGTATCATTCGGCTTGCCACATGTCGATTCTTTTAATGTTACATTTCTTCCCATGCCCTTTTTATAACGCGTGACCTAGTCGCCGCGTTGTGGTGTATTGCGGGACACCTCCCAAATTTGTGTTCTGTAGTTTGATAGCCAAATGTGCGTCTTTGCTGGTTTTCGGCTGTTGCCTATCTCTGTCCTTGCGGGGGTGTTTGTGGACTGAGTTATCATCGACCGCGCTCCTCTGCTAGCCCACACCGACAGGCCCAAAGGATTGAGGTCTCGAACCATGGCGGTGCAACTGACCTCACGGATGCCGTGATGTGTGGAAGACGACGAATGCGGGACAGTGCCTTCAGTTCACAGCAGCACCAGCTTCTGGCGCTGCTAAGTATCATTACGAGTGGGCCTTTTCCGTTGTACGGCTGCTGACCGGGCCGTAAGCCGGTCCACCGCCGCCTCTGACGAGTCCGCCCGCCACAGGTGCGGCTGCTGGCCGGGCCGTAAGCCGGTTCGCCGCCGCCTCTGACGAGTCCGCCCGCCACAGGTGCGGCTGCTGACCGCCGCCGCCTCCCGCCCGTCACAGGTGCGGCTGCTGGCCGGGCCGTAAGCCGGTCCACCGCCGCCTCTGACGAGTCCCATCCTTCACAGGTGCGGTTGCTGCATCTGCTGCACGGACGAGCTGCCGCCGCGCGCCAAGCGTATCAAAGGCATGCTGGACTCGGTGGAGCAGTGGCGCGCGCTGCAGCTGGCCGGCCTGCGCGAAAACTACAACCAGCAGGTGGCCGGCATCAAGGACAGCTGCTACCAGCAGGTGGAGCGCATCCGCGAGACGTACAAGGGCCAGGCGCGCTACCTGGGCGACATGCGCGACTACGGCGCGCAGCAGATCGAGGGATTCCGCGACCAGTACCTGGACCAGGCGAGTCTGAGACCCCTTGGTGACGGCCGCCGCGGGAGGGGGGGGAGGGGGTGACGGCCGCCCGGTCGGCGGCACCCTCTACACGGACGGGCTTGGTCAGGTTTGTATGTTACTGTCTCGGCTCGCACGTCCGGTGCGTCAGCTCGTTTACTGCTGGCGGACTTGACGCTTCCTAACGTATCTGACATAGAATCACTCGGCAGTTCCCTTCCGCCTTGTTGGACTCGTTGGACCATTCGTTTTGAACGTCGCCACTGATAGATAAGCACAGATCCCTGTGCTGTTCGCGATTGATTGTGTGACACAGACAGAGTGACCCTCTTGACTCCCAGAACATCCGAATTCCGGTGAAGTTGGACGTTTGGAAAATGAGAATATTCGTGTCTGCTGTCAACACGGAGTCTGCGGAGGCCGCTGCTGTATGGCGTGGCGCCGCCCTGGTGTGGACAGACTGTGCGTCAGGCAGTGCTGGCCGCCCGTCGTCGACCGAAGGCAACAGTCCGAGCTCTTGGCAGGCCCGCTATCGTCGTCTGGGACATTAGCCGTCACTCCGATACTGTCCGTCTGATGGGACGTGATACACGGACTGTCACCAACGGTGACACGTATGACGTGCTGTGGCTGGGGATTTATGACGTACTCAGCTGCTGCAGGCTTAGGGCGCGTCTGTTTCTCCCGCCGGTGGTCACGGCGGACACCGAGGCGGATCGAACCTCGCACCTCTGGTTTCCCACACGTGCAGCTAACTGCTGCACTATCGGTATCCTATGTGTTTGCTGTTTCTCTCGTCCCATCTGTAGCATGAGTATTCTGTGACACAGTAATTCGTGAAGCCTTTTCCGACAGAGTCGTCCGGGAGGGGCGAGTGTCCGCTATCTTAGTCCAGCTCGCGCCATGTCGTGCCACACGCTGGTTCACCTGTCACTGCGCCCCGAGGCTCCACGCGGCGTCACCCGTGTGTGCAGTCGCAGCGGCGGCCCGCTCTGCCGTGCTGAAATTCACTCTGCGCGTGCGGTCGGAAGCTCGGCCACCCGAAAACGACGTTAATGTACATTAACCAGCGGCTGTAAAAGGCCGAAATCACACAGCTAATGGATCAGGCTGGCGGAAATGGCCATTGTTCCCTTTGGTTCTGCTCCTGAGAGTGCCTCGGAGACGGCGCTGACTTTCCGATCGTACCTCGCATGCCACGGTATTTTGCTGTACCGGGTTGCGGTTGCGGCGAGTGCGCTGACACCCATATGTGATCGCCAGGTGCGGCCGGGTGCGCGACTACTCCCTGAGCCAGATGAACCGGGTGCACGAGAACTACATCTTCCAGCAGAACCGCATCCGCAAGTTCAGCGCACATCAGCGCGTGCGCCTGCGCGAGACCTACAAGTATCAACAGAAGACGCTGAACAAGATCCTGGAGAACCTTCCCGACCTCTACCTGCAGAACTGTCGCACCGGCACCTGCCAGCGCACCGAGAGCATGATGCTGCCCGGCGACCAGTTCTACTGCGACGCTGACGTCGAGTGGTCGGCCGAGCAGCTGGCCGGCATGGCCGAGCTGTGTCCGCCGGACTGCGAGCCGGTGGAGCTGGCGCCGCCGCTCGTCACGCTGGAGCCGCCGGCCGCTGACGCAGACGAGCAGGAGCAGGAGCAGGAGCAGGAGGAGGAGGGGGCGGCGGCGGCTGCTGCTGGCCCCGCGCCGCTCCCGCCGACTGCGTCCCGCTGCCAGTCCCAGGCGGCTGGAGGAGGCGGTGCCCGCTCCCAGTCCTATGCGGTCTGAAGAGGCAGTGTCCGCCGCCGGTCCCACACGGTCGGAGGAGTCTGCGCGCGCCGCCAGTCCTCTGCAGTTGGAGGTGGTCATGCTGGAAGTTGACGACGAGGGCCCGGCCGAGCGGCAGCTGGCCGAGAGCTCCTGTTGATGAGCTGGCAGCCAGGCATTCCCGAGTTCCCGACTCTCGTGATATTAGGCCGCTGGCGCGCCGCCGACTCCGTGTGATAGTGCCGTCCGCCCGGCCGACGGCGCTTAGTCATGTTTGCAGTGTTTCTGAACGACCACTCACCGACCGGCGGGCCTGGCTTAGAGATATATGCAAGCCGAGTGAATGTTCCAATATTTATCTTCTTTCATAGGATTTGGTAGAGGGAGGGGTGGAGGAGAACGGATAGGCAGTGGTCGAAGCCCTCCCACTTCGTGTCTCTGATGCGGCGTCGCATATGCGTCATGGCTGCTGAACGGTGCGGCTCTTCTAGGCCTATGTTTCGCTAGCAAGTTATCGTACACTGCACTAACCATAAGTGACGTAGGCACGGAGTCCGCCGACTTATCGTACCTTGGAAACTGATTCGTGAGTAGTTGCGTTGAAGAGCCGTACGCGCCACCGGCTCAACGTCATTCTCAGCGTCATTATGTTTGGTGTTGAGACGAGCGCTGGATTCGTATTGTCCTCGCTGTGTTGACACGAGTGTAGGCTGCTAATACATACAGAAAAGTGCGCTGCGTGCTCAGCCGGCAACGGGCGACTGCGCTGAGGGCTGCAGCTCGGGAAGGAGAGCCGCCTTTGACGCTTGCGCTGCCTCTGACGTTAGAGGGAGTCCAGCGGTCTGGCTCCGATAGCTGTCCGAGCTGCCGGCGGTCGGACAGCACCGTCAGGCTGGTGGGTGGGCTGGAAATGTGGTGATGCCAGCCCGCCTTCCAGGCCCAGACAGGCGGCAGGAAGCCTCACTGTAGCGTTCTCGCAGAAGACGCGTTCGGAGGGAGGAAGAGTATTCGTGCAGCAGCTCCTCCATAGCTGCCATGGTCTCATACGCAGTGTGCCTCAGTATGTCCTTAGGGGACGGTCACAAGTTCGAGAAATTGTTATTGGTTACTTGAAGCGCCATTCAAGATCTCATCTAGTCTGTTGTGCTTGTGCCAATTTACTCACGTTTGTTGCGCCTCTGTGTCTGGACCTGGGGCGCCAGTTCACAGATTCGCGCGGTCGTCCACCAAGAGATATATATGCCTTCTAGTTGAGCCTGGCGACGTGCAGTACTCGGATTATAGGCTCGCTTTTCTAGCCTGAGCCGAGACTGTCCAGGCTGAGTGGCCTCTGTGCGCGTTTGAGAGCCAATGGGGTTCGAAGCGCATTGGAGAACACCTTAGTATCCATCTCCGTGGATATGGTTTGCCATCCCTATTTGGGGTTTAATCCTAACTACACCTGGATTCAGGGACAGCCGTCGGTATTTATCACGTCTGTCTGCGTTTTGGTCGCAGGATGATGCATGAGAACGATAGCCTTAAGAAGTGCAGTGTTCACGTGCCCCCCCCCCCCATCACGCAATCAAATCTTGGACAGTAACTTAAGCGAGGAGGTGGATTCAAGCCGGCCGAAGATGTGCCGCTTGGACCTGCGTGGGGCCACAGGACAGGGAATGCCGGCCTTGCAAAGCAGGGCAGACTCCACAAACGTGTTGCATTCAGTAGAACCTGAACCTGCACTAAATGTCGGGAAATAACCAAACAACATGGCTCCTAATGTACTAACATGTGTGGTTTTGCGGCTTACATATGACAAGAAATTACAATTTTAGTTAGCGGGCCCACCAAATCTCGAACATTGGGGGCTCATCGGATGTATTGGAGAGCTCGAAAAGTCCGATGTTCTCTACGTCACGCAATCCTGAGTCCACCTCCAGCTATTCCTTTGCACGTATTAGTGCTGGCAGCAAAACGATTTCCTGCTGCTGGGTTGTTGACGTTGAGACCAGAACCGGTGCAGTGCACAGAGACCGGGCTGTCGCGACACATTTATTCAAGCCACGGTGTTAACTACGATCGATCAGGAAAATGTACTCAATCAAAACGAATATATGCATTACCCCAATGAAAATGAACACCCTCGCTTGTTCCGGTTTGGCAGTACCACTGAAGATCACATTGAGTGAAACGCTCAAGTTCAACCAACGTACTACGTGCGGTGTTTGGGTGGTGGTGGCGATTGTCATAGGTTATATTCAAACCAAGGAGGCCACGTGATGGACTCCCTGTCACCCGATTGTATCTTTTGCCTCTGTGACATCAACTGTGCAGTATAACTGTGCAAAGGTACGAGGCACGGTTAAGTGCATCCAACAGTATGGCGCCTGCAAGGGGCTCGGTTGGCCAGGTTGCTAGTTACATTGGGGGGGGGGGGGGGGGATCGCATGCAAGGGCATCGGGCCTCACACGCCGTGCACGAGCCGGATGTGCTCGCTCCGGCTCAGGTACGAGTACCAGTAGGCCACGTTGGCAGCCAGGAACGCGGCGGGAAACAGTAGCCGACTGCCCCGGTCGATCAGCGACACGGAGTTAAACTGTGTCAGCATGGCGCCCGGCGCCAGGGGACGCTGCCGTCGTCGCCGGGCCAGCTTCCACCGGCGGCTGCGGGGCGGCGCCACGGTCGTGGCCGGCCCACCGACTGGCAGGCGGAGCTCGATGTAGATGGGCGGGCTGGTCCGCCGAGTCAGCTCTGAGCCGGGCCGAACGAGGCCGGTTTGGCACGGTGAGATCTGAACAATATTCACAGCCCGTTACAACACGCCGCCCCTCGTGCCTGCCGGAGCAGATTAGTGTGATCCAGTGAATGGCTCCCCGCCAAGCGTTCACAGCGGATGAGACGAGAGGAAACAAGTTCTCGTGCTCATAAGAAGAAAAGTGTGTGCGACTATGAATCACGCCGTTTCCCAATGACAGGAGCCCGGCATCACCACGAAGAGTAATTCGTGGCGTCTTTTCTGACCGAGCATCCGTGACATGCGACATGCACACACACATACACACGTCACACAATTGCTGTCGCATTGGCTGTCCATGCCCGGCGATGCCCAGGTCAGCCCAGGTTGAACGTCCGTCACCGATGCTGCCGTCAAATTATGGAAATTACATGGAAATAATTATGGAAATTATGCACTCTTGGGAAATATTTCGAAAGCAAACTCTAGAGGAGTTTAGGACCAGTCATGTCTAATGACAGCACTGGTAGCGCCACTCCAGCACCCTCAAGATCATAGCAGTGATATCGATTTCAATTATTTTCCAGTTCAAATTACACCGTCAGCGTTTCGTAACGGCGCTACCATTCTTTCCTGTAGTCGCAACCATCGTCGTCATGACACTACTGTGCGCACCCCCACTGGTGCAAAGAAGTGTTTGTGATTGGCCCAGCGGGCAAAGGCCAGTTATCGAAAAACGTACTGACTGAAGTTTGAAGCAGTGCATCACACGGGTCATGTGATGCTCCCGTTCTCAAGTTAGAAGCGCGCCTCGAAAAGAGCCACTATGGAAAACACCATTGGGGAGAAATCAAAGCCGTAGTATAACGTTTCGTTGAATTCGCGGGACAGATGTTTCATGTTCACATTTTTATTTTTGCCTGAACATGCGTCTCAAGTTTTCATAGTGTTTATTAAACGAACATTTTGACATATTAGCGTGTTCCAAACATTACAGAACACACGCATTGGAAAAAGCGAGGCAAATAAAATGTATTACTTTCATAGTGGTGAGCAAGGAGTCAACTAAGATTTCTCCCGTAGAGCCGGCTACTTCAAATAGAAATTCTGAACTATCCAGAAGGATTGAAAAAACTGGTATTTCTGTTCAAATGGCATTCATTTGATGCATCCATTAACTACTAACGACAAAAAGGTGGGATACACCCTTAAATCCTGACGCGCATCTCAGTCGACTGGCTTGTTCTGGGCGATGACATGAATGAGGTCAACCATACAGGGCTTGGTAATGGGCTTGTCTAGCAAAATAAGGTCTACAAAATACATAAGGTAAAATTAAACAAAAGTCTATGATGTTGTGTTTGGTATCACACATTGCCGTTGCGTGGCGGGCCGTTGTTCCACACCTGTCTGACGGCCACCGACTTATGTGGCGCCGCCGTGTTGGGCGTCACCTGGTGACGTGGTGCCGCGCTGTCGGTGATCCCCTGGTGACGCGGCGTCGCCGACTCGGCGCTCGCCGGGTCGGATTCGCTCGAGTCACCCGGGTCAGAGTCCGGCGGCGGGAAGTACACCTCCCCATAGCCGTACTTGGTGAAGAAGTGGACGAACGCGAACTGCGGAACATGGAGCGGAACATGACGGGTCGTGGCCAGCTCAAGAACCGCTGGCTTCTAGCGCGGTAGGCGCTGTGATCCCATGTGGCCGGGGAATCAATGACGATGCATTCAGCAAGTGTGAGACGTTGTGCAGTGCTAGTAGCAGCCTCTGAACAGATGCTGACTGGTAGTAGCCTGATGTCGAACAAATCTCCTTCATGACATGAAGCACAGACTAGCCGACTGCTGCACAGCCAGCACGCAAAACTTGCTCAAAGGGTACACTTTTGGATGTGAGCTACCAGAAGAAAAGCATCCACAACTGTCTCCGGAATACGCGAACTTCCAATTCCCTAACAAAACTTGGAACCAGAACTAATGAGATCGCCAAATATGTTTACGCGCATTTCTCCGAGCAGATAAGCTAAAAATGTCCAGTCCATGAAATCCAAACACTCTATTGCACACTTACAAGTATACAAATATAATGTTCAACACGTTCCCGGGTGGCCGGTTGAATGCTTCATGCTTGGGGATGTAGGTCAATTTGAGCCCGTGCTATCCAAAAACCTAAGAGAGCTAGAAACACCGAATCGATACGGTGGGTTGGCTGTTCATGAACTCACTTGTGTCAAAATTTGAGCGCCCAGGACATGGCCTTTGGGTCAAATGGGTCGAAGAAGGGAAAACTCCTGATTGGTGCCCAAAGCGCTCCCATAACTCCTCGTCCAATCACAATGAGCCTAGATAACTGTCCTAAGCAAAAGGTCACTGATGCTTATTTCAGGTTAGTGACCTTGTTTGACCTTTAAAAGGTCACAATGACTAGAAACGAACGAGGTTGTTTTGATTTTTAGATTTCAATACGCGCCAGGGATTACGATAGGCAGCATATTCCTAAAACAAACGTTCATCTATGTCATTTTAATCAGTGACCAATTCTGACCTTGAAGAAGTCCATGAAAGATGTCTGTTTCGGTCCCTATTATCCAAAATTCAAAATATGCATCAGAAACTACTTCTAAAGACAATCCCGCAAGTAAAAAAGCAGGCTGCTTTTGGCCTAGGTCTGACCTTCATACCAACCCAAGGTCAATTCAAGTTGTTTTAATCCTCACCTAAATCGCCTGATTGTCAAAGAAACTATCTCGGAAATGTATGGCTTCGTCTAACACTCAGTTGTCGCAAAAGATTGAGCGATTCCCTCGAAATGGCCTTCGCTGACAGCCACGGCCTGGCTTTGACCTGCCATAGATCAGCGAGCTTACAAGGTACATCTATTTCGCATCCCAAATGATTTCCTATTCATAGGCCTACAACCATGCAAAGTTTGATCCGGCGTTGCCACGCGTTGCAGGGAATTATTCTGGAAAAGTCTTTGGGGGTCAAACTGACCCTCGCCCAAGCGCGTGTTAGAGATGGCTCACCTGTATTATGCTGGCAAATATGAACCCGTATGATATCCAAAGGAACAGATCTAGCGCTGTTGAGTATGGCACCTTTGGAAGGTCCGTTCGTGCCTCCAGTCCCAGAAAAGTCATGGTGAGCACCGTAGTCACGCCTGAAACGTCAGTGACTCGGTGGAACAGCCTGAGCAGTCGTGCCAGGCGGCAGAGCCTGCCAGCGTTACCAGCGGTCAGGCACGTCAGAAGGGCATCGCAGTAATGATGGCCGCCTGCCGTGTCGGGATCTCGTCATCACACTGGGGAGACTACATCGGCTTATTCGCCGTAGGGATTGATACACCACGGGCTGGTCGATGTAGCCAGTCGCGGAGCTTCACAAAATACATTGGTAGGAAGCAATGCATTTCTGGAAAACAGGCAAATGTTTGCTGCCTTTTCAAGTTCATGTAGGAAGTTTCGAGTGATTTGACTTCAGCCTTGCGGGACTGAAACGTGGAGGACAAGGCAGACTAAATAATTCAGTGAAGTTAAAAACTCACCGAAAGCAATACCAATAAATCTCAACGAAAGCTACGCACACCTTCAACGTCACGGCCCATTTGAAACACAAATTTCTCAAAGAAATCGGAACATCAGAGAATATTTGATTGCTGGCGACTTCTCCTGATAACTGGTGCCCATCCAGCCAGAGGCACCGCCTGCACCTGCAGCAGTGCACTGACCGAGCGATATGCGGTCGGAGGTGGCCTCCCGGTTCAGCCAGAACGACACCCAGGAGAGCACCACCAGCAGCACGCACGGTCCGTACACCTGGATCATGAAGTTGCCCATGTGCCGCCGCAGGTGAAAGCTGGCCCATAGAGTCGAGAAGTTGCCTGCGAACGAGGCAGACAGTTGAGGCAGGGACATCAGCCGCGCGCTCAGGCGCGGCAGAGAGGCTCTCGGGCGTCGTGTTATCGCGGAATCCCTGCAACCAGCCCCCTCCCCCACCCCTGCTCAGACACGGCCGGCAACTTCTTAGGCATCGCGTAATCACGGGACGCATGTTGTGCAATTCGTTCCAAGATCGGTGTTGCCCTTGGACTCCCATGCAGCGTGGCGCGATTTCTCCACAAACAGCCTTAAAAGGTGCTGTTTGATATATATATATATATATATATATATATATATATATGTATATATATGTATATATATATATATATATATGTATTACCAGAACGTTTATATATATATATATATATATATATATATACACATATACATATATGCACATATACACACACATATATAAATATATACATATACACATAATGCGCTTTAAACAATGGCAATAACGTGAAGCTTCTATGAAGTTGAACATTTGTGAGTGTCTAATACAGCTGTTTTCCTTGGAAATGGTCTTTCGAAAATTTAAAGCAGCCACGCTTAACAAGTTGCCCTGACGATTATTCCTGACGAATACAAAGGATAGGAACTGGTTCATGACAATTTAGCACAAGTTGTTTTCCTTTTTCATCTAGTTCTTTGAATGTCTTAAATGTTTTTCACGGCTCTTAGACATAAGAAATGTGTAATGAATCGTATACATATTCGCTGTCTTTCACTCAGACAACAAACAACTCCTGCCATAAACAGTTTTTGCTCTCGTAGGAGTGGCGCGAGACCTTAGCTCAATGTGACCACCAAAGTTGCAGTCACTGAAACAGGGACAGGACGAGCACCAAGACAAGGGGAAGTGCGGTAGAAGTCGAGGAAGCACAATTAATAACGAGCCATGCAAAAGACATGCGCACAGGAGGCGAATCACCGCAGTTATCTTCGAAGGCGATAAGGCGAGTGACGAGCCGTAAATGTCGGATACAGGTGGCTCGGGGCGTCCACACATGCGTCGCCAAACGGCGCTTTCTCCTGCGCGAAAGCTCTTTGATATCTGGCTAGCCTGATTTGGAGAATGGCCGGCTGTCCGGGGAGTGACCGGCTGTCCCCCGAGTGACCGGCTGTCCAGGAGTGATCGGCTATCACCCAGATGTGACCGTCTTCCAGGAAGTGACCGCTGTCCCCAGAATTGACCGGCTGTCAGAGTGAAGCGGTCTATCCCCAGTGACCGGCTGTCCAGGAGTGACGGCTGTCCCCCGAGTGACCGGCTGTCCAGGAGTGACCGGCTGTCCCCAGAGTGACCAGATGTCCAGGAGTGACCGGTTACCCAGAGTGACCGTGTCCAGGAGGAACGGCTGTCCCCGATGCACCGCTGTTCCCAGAGTGACCGATGTCCAGGATTGACCGGCTTCCAGAGGTGTCCGGCTGTCCCCCGAGTGACCGGCTGTCCAGGAGTGACCGGCTGTCCAGGAGTGACCGGCTGTCCAGGAGTGACCGGCTGTCTCCAGAGCGACCGGCTGTCCAGGAGAAACCGGCTATCCCCAGAGTGACCGGCTGTCCAGGAGTAACCGGCTGTTCCGGGGAGCGACCGGCTGTCACGGAAGTGACCGGCTATCCCCAGAGTGGCCGACAGTCCCGGTGCGACAGCTGCCGGACGCACCGTGTCACCAGGCCACGCCGCCAGCTGAGCGTGTCCTGCGTCTTTCTGGTAATCGTTGACGCGATTACTAATATTCGCACCTGCCTCGGCCAGATATTCCCTGCGTCCTCTCATGACAAGGACACTTGACCCTCGGCTTTAGAGCGGAAATGTGCCTCTGTTCGAAGCAATATAAATGAAAATCACGCCATATAGGCATCAGAGGTGACGCGTCACGCCCTGCCTATCTGCACACCGGCTGCACGCACACTGGTTGTTGGCACACTCGCACACATACGGGACCGACTGCCTGGACATGACGAGGGACGGGACTGTCTCGTGTCTAGTCGGCAGGGTGGGACCTCACCACACGGCTGTCTGGACATGACAAGGGACGGGACTGTCTTGTGCATAGTCGGCAGGGTGGGACCTCACCACACGGCTGTCTGGACATGACAAGGGACGGGACTGTCCTGTGTCTAGTCGGCAGGGTGGGACCTCACCACACGGCTGTCTGGACATGACGAGGGACGGGACTGTCTTGTGTCTAGTCGGCAGGGTGGGACCTCACCACACGGCTGTCTGGACATGACGAGGGACGGAACTGTCTTGTGTCTAGTCGGCAGGGTGGGACCTCACCACACGGCTGTCTGGACATGACGAGGGACGGGACTGTCTCGTGTCTAGTCAGCGGGGTGGGACCTCACCACACGGCTGTCTGGACTTGACGAGGGACGGGAATATCTTGTGCCTAGTTGGCGTGATGGGACCTCACCACGGGCGTGCCCGGGCCGCAAACGTCGGTTGCTCGGGGGGGGGGGGGGGGGGGGGGATCAGCGACACAAGCCACAGCGCGTGCTGATCAGAAGCAGCTCTCAGGAAGGCGGAGTCTGCATCTGAAGATTGACAATGTGTGTTTGAAAGTCTGATGGACTGATAAGATCTTTAAAATCTCCGCAGCGCAGGTCATAATAGTCATTGTAATCTTTGGTAGTGTATGACGGCGAGAGTCATTAAAATTAGGATCCTCAAATAAACTATAGCAAACTCAATGTCGAGGCCAAGTGTCTGCACTTAATAATGCGTCCTTGCAAAGCCTCCTTACGGTATAGAAGACGATGACGCCGCACCAAGGCCCCTCAGCTAGCTGTCGTCTTGCCTGATGGGAGCCACTACCGTTGACTCGGAGGTGCCGGTGCGCGTTATGCAGAACTCACCCCGATGACTCCGCTCCGTTCGCTGGCCGACTGGTGTTCGCACCAGGTCGAACTGAGACAGCTTCATGTCCTGTGATATCTCCACCTTTTCTCTGTTCCGCGTCCACCTGTACATCACGTCACTCTCGAAGTAGCCGACTGAAACGTATTTAAAGTGATGCCTTTGCGACAGCTAACCCTAAAAAACAACTGCAAATTCATTAGTGTCTTCTTCGAAATGTAAAATGATTGCTACGCAAAATAGAAGAAGCATAGTACAAGCCATACAATATCTCACATTATTCATGCGGACATTTTTTCTTCCAAAATTTGCCCCTGTAAAGAGCTTGAGTGTTCACATATCATATGCGTTACAGAATTAAAAGACAGCGAGACTTACGCTTGACTGAACCAGGTTGACCATGCTTGCTTTTGTGACATTCTTCCTCGCCTTCTTCTACAATAACAACAAACCCCAGTGCACCCATCATGAAACATTGCAAATAAACATCTGATTCCTGACGTTTTCTCAGAAAACAGCTGTGATGTCCGTGTGATGCAGGGCCGTTCCGCCCCCAATGGATTAGATTTGAAGGCTTGCCTTAAGCAAGTGTTTAGTGGCCCTTCGTACAAAAAATTACGCCTAACGTTCCGAACGACATCACAGTAGCCGTGCAAACACAAGTTCTGTATTGCAGTCCAAATAAATACTACACCGCTGTTGGAAACTAGTCAAATATCAGTTTGGACAGGTAACCGCCATCTGCACGACCTGCATTTCCTAACCTTTTATCCACAAAATTCGCAGTACTGGTGAGCCACAGGATCCCGTCTTTCAATCCAGACCACCTTGGAACTCCGCCCTCTTCACACTCGCCAAGAAACTGATCCAGAATGTCACTTGAGGACCGAGCCAGGCAGGTCACGCATTTGGTGCGACATCGTGCTTCTGTACAACTCCCTGCCCACATAATTGACGAACTTGTCGATGGATGCTTTTTTCCATGTGCAACGGCTTTAAGTCTTGAAGCGTGTGCGTGTGCGTGCTTAAGTGCATTTGTTCTTGTTCTTGTTCATTCCCTTGGACGTGTTGCCTCATACTCATCTTTAATATGCTTTTCCTTTCAACTTAAACGCGACACTCAAACAGCCTTTTGACATTGCGGAAGCGTGCTTACTGACAATGCCGTTACATATATATCCATACCTTCGAACTCCGTAGGCGAGAGAAAACAAGGGTGAACTGAACCTCAGCATGCTCCGGAGTCCGGACTGTAGTCTGTAGTGCTGTTATTGCGCAGCGCTCAGATGGCGTTGAGCCGTGCCCAATGACGTATGCTGCACGCCTCCGCTTGTGGGGACGTCACTCCGATACTCACAGCCGCCGAAGAGCAGCGGACAGTGCTGCGTGTGACTTCACTCGGTACTCACAGCCGACGAAGAGCAGCGGACAGTGCTGCGCGTGACGTCACTCGGTACTCACAGCTGCCGAAAAACAGCAGGCAGTACTGCGTGTGACGTCACTCCTTACTCACAGCTGCCGAAAAACAGCGGACGGTGCTGCGTGTGACGTCATTCCCTACTCACACCTGCCGAAGAGCAGCGGACAGTGCTGCGTGTGACGTCACTCGGTACTCACAGCTGTCCGAAAAGCATCGGACAGTACTGCGTGTGACGTGCACTCCTTACTCACATCTGCCTGAAGACCAGCGGATCGCGATGCGTGTGACGTGACTCCTTACTCACAGCTGCCGAAGAGCAGCGGACAGTGCTGCGTGTGACGTCACTCGGTGCCCATAGCTGCCGAAGGGCAGCGGACAGCGCTACGTGTGACGTCACTCCGTACTCACAACTGCCGAAGAGCAGCGGACAGTGCTGCGTGTCCATGGGGAAGTCGTGGAGGCTCATCGGACAGCTGGCTTGGATGGTCATCCTGCAACAACGTCACTCGCACTAACCGGAGCTGGGCGCTGTGGTAGACTTCTCGGCCCCTCGATCAAAGGTTTCAGCACCCCTTCAACGCTCTTCGCACACACAGCTGGACGGCCCGTACTTTAAAACAATGACAGCACATGTTAACTATCAGAAGACAAACATCATGTGTGCAGCACCTCAACCATGGATTAGTTGTGCTAGTTCTTTTCCGTATTCAGCTCACACGAACTCTACAATGATAACAGCGAATCGCCGGCAGGGAACAATAGGAGCTCACTGGAGTGTGTGCGTGTATGTGGGCGAGTGGTGTGGGGGGGGGGGGGGGTCGTAGACCTTTGGGCTAATTTCAATCTAATCTTAAAGTGACGGTATCAAATTTCCAGGCGGCTGGAGGATTAGCCCACCCCTGCACCCATGGTTGTCAGTGACATTCAACTTCCCATTGCCCTCTTTCCGACGCATCCGCCACCAATGAACACGTCACCAGGAGCGCCGTCTCTCCTGTATCCCCCGCCACTCAAATCCATGGCTTACCACGCTGCACCCAGGTTAAAGATGACATATACAAGTCGCCGAACTCCTTGCTGAGGAGATTATACAACGCAAACATAGAAAGAGTAAAAGAGGGCAACCACCACGATAAAATAGGTCTGCTCAAGTCTTGTAACCGTGTTCGACACTTGGTTACGAGCAAGACTGCAGTCCGAGCTTGCCTTACTTTAACTATGGGGAAACTATCAACTCGAGGGGCCAGGCCCGTCTCCATGCCATCATGCCATCATGCCATGACGCTTTCTAGAAGATAATACGTTGGCGACAATTTATCGTAGATTTATGAGGTTCCAGCAGAAAGAGTGCGACCAGAGATGTAGTTACGGAAAATAAGCTTGAAGGCTGAACGGAGCAAATGGATAAGCCTGCTCCAAAATGTAGGAAAAGCGCGTTTTTCTCTAGATTTGCCCACTGCCCTTTCATATTAGGGAAATTGAAACTGAAAAAGGAAACTACACTCTAAAGTACAGTTCTAGAAGTTGCGGTATTCAAATTTTTCGGTATTTGTGTGCACGCTATAGTAACAGAAGGGTTTTCCTCCTGCAACGCAGCAATTTCACCGTAATTTAACTTCCCTCATTCGAATAACGCGGCTGAGGTATGTGCTACTGCGAAAACGTTGAAGAAAACGGGTCTAACCTGGGTTGAGATCTTGACTATCAGACGTCGCAGGAAATCGAAAATGAATAGTTTGATGCGGCGATCGCATTGTCAAAAGTATGACTCGATGTATGCTGCTGTCATGTGGTTTCGTCCGGGAACACGGAGTCCCGTTTTGGAGAGTTTCTAGGCATTGATATCTGATCTCAGCAAATATGGCAGATGAGGATGTAAGACCAATGACACGGTGTAGGAGCGCGTACCGGCAGCAACTTACGAACATATCTTACAGCTATCCTTCCCACCCATAGGTGTGCCTATGTGTAGAACAATTGACCTAGTGATTATAAGAATGATTACTGATCATGAACACTGAGAGACTAGTAAGCAACCATTAGTTATAAATTGGAGAGATACTAGTCTTACCTTTCCGAACACATTCACAAACATGGGGTGCTGTGGGCTGACCCCAAAAGATCAGGACATGGAAAGCAGACAGGTACATGTATGGTTAAGCTTAGTGTGACCGACGTGCACCGAAGATCTTGGCTTTTTGCACGATACTCTGGCCACAATAGGGAAACGGTAAATACATGTCAGTCCACCGACTTTATGAATACAAATGGATGCGCCTGACGCTCAGTAAATTTCCTTCCGATGCTGTTTGTAAATTGGCACAAACTAAAAACAAATCATCATATGTAGCATCATCATCATCATCATCATCACCATCAGTCTTGCCGCGTATCCCGATTTAGCCCCCCTCAGTCGCTTTTTGCTCGCAGAAAGTAGATTCACACGTGCACTTGACCTTTGCCATCTCATTCGCCATCTCGCGTTCCCAATATGGTTGGGCGATCGTTAAGTTTTGGACAGCACGGGACATGAGAATAGCGGACGAAATTCAACGTTTGGTACACCATGCATGACCCACGACGCAGCGAAGCGTCTCATGATGGGGAGATGGTGGTATTGAGAGGATAGAGGGGGATAGAGCGATGAGAGAGGAGAGAAGAGGGAGAAGGAGGAGAGGAGAGAGAGAGAGAGAGAGAGAGAGAGAGGAGAGAGAGGAGACGAGAGAGAGAGAGCAGAGAGAGGAGAGAGAGGAGAGAGAGAGAGAGAGGGGAGGGGTTCGTCAATCACGAACTTGCTTCTCGGGGTGACTTAGCTTGAGTCGAGCTAGTTCGAGTGTGAGGCAGATTCCGTTTAGTCAGATGTGCCCGACTCACTGCAATGTTTGGGATCACAGTGCAGACTGAGTAACTACGAAGTTAGCAGGGAATCGAATTTATGTACATCTGTAACATACATACACACACACAAGGACACACAGACCCGACACCCACTCACACATCACCACACAGCACACAGGCAAACCTACCCTGCCTATGTTTCTGGGTACACTTCACACAACAACGTTAAATCACACTTCACGTTTGAGATCAACTCAACTAAGCAAGTTAGGGAATCGATATATATAGCATGATTCCACAGTTCACTTGCCCAGTGAGGACCACCTTTCTCAAATATATCGCATGCACCCGAATGGTGGTTATACGTTTGTAATTATTGGTCATTGATGTGCAGCTGCTTAACTGATATGTTTAGCAACATGAGCAGTGATTTATACAAGCAGTACAAGACCGAAAGTAGTAGTAAATGTAGCGTTGCAGCGGGGTGAGCGCGCACTGTTTGCAGTTCCCGCGTAATCATGCAATACTTTCGAAAATTCCTGGTTTGGGACCTTCGGAACTGGCGAAGATAAAAGAAGCGGTCCTAGAGCTCTTTGCTGTACATCACTTCGTTTTGCTGTATATCACTCTTGCAGCCTTCTGTAACGTATTGCAACAATTCGGAAAAATCACCTTCAGGGTCTTTAATGCCTAGCAAGAGCCTCGAAGATGGTTTTGAGCGTTATCTTGATTAGTTAAGCAGTCAACTGCTCTTGCAACATTCGGCAACTTCTGAAACATTTTCTGAAACCTCTTGTAAGAGCTCTGGTGTCTTGAAGTGTTACTGTAAGTAGTTTTACGACACTCACTTTTCATTTGATGCCAGGAATGCCGTCATTTGTTCAGACAGCCTGGCCGCCTTGCAAAGAAGACTGCGCTCAGTAATGTGCTGCACCCCGCGCTCCTTCCAGACCATATAAAAGTGTGAGCCTGGCCAATTCCGTGTGAGACACACAGGTGCTTCATTGCTCGGGTGAGGTTGAGCTGGGAACATAATGATATCGAGGTCGGGGTGGAATACTGTCGCCTAATATACTTCCAACGTCAGGATTATAGGAACCTCGGACACGTGTTCGTGATGCTCATTCCTCCTCATCTCGGTACGTCAGGCTCTTTTACACGAGATGTTCGGTTTCATTTGGGTGAGGGGTAAAAGCGTATATCTAAACGTCTTTTCGGCCAATGCAGGAGGCCCTCATACTTAGTATCGCCCAGGTCTTGCCCCTAAGGAGAGCCTGCCCTCCCCCAATACCAACCACGCAGCGTACTCCCTGGAGGGATTTTATGCCGTCTTCGCCGAGTGCGACATCTTTGCAAGCGTCTTTGCGAGAAACCTGTGACGACTACGATTCGCACCTTCCATAAAGTATTAGTGGGCACCGTCCCTCTATAACGAGGAGCTCCTCCGAGTGGCGTCCCCTCCCTTTCTGAATGAGGTCAGCCTTCCGACGTGGTCACTCTCGCTCTGACAGTCCCAATGTCCCACGTTCTTTATCCGCAAAGTCACCAATGTCAGCAAACATCGTGGGTATGGAAGCCCTGCATACATAGTCGTCTTTGGCCTCACGCGTCTGCTAGGTTGCTAGAAGTGTGTCCAGATTATGTCTTTGGCTTTTCCGCTGGTGGTCTGACAGCGTCGAGAGGATGCTTATTTCCTTCAAAATTGACCCCTTTAAAAGCCAGAAGTGGTTACTACACATTAAGGTTAGAGTTCAATAATTTGTGACGTTGTTTGTTCAACGTGTTCCACTCAACCATCACTTCCAAAGATCGTGATCAATACATTGCATTCGATTCATAACGGGGTTAGCAACAGAATAATTATGCCCGGTTCAAAAAAGTCTCAATTCATAATTTGCGATGCCATTGGCATGACTCACATGCCCACCCACAGGCCATATTATGTCAAGTCATGTCGTGTTGAAAGGATAGCATGTCTACATAATTTTTACGCAAAAACTCTTAGGGAATTTGATGCTGTTTTTCACTGACAAAGTGAAAAGGCCGTTAGCAATCAGTGCAAAATAGCCTATAGAGACCAGACAAAACAATTCCTGGTCCGCTCAGGTTTCAACGCACGACCCTTAAATTTGGCGCCCGGGGCGTTACCGCCTTCGCCACAGAAGCCGTAACGGATGCTGATTCTGTAATTGCAGGCATGTTGATCTCGACGTTGCGGCGTGTCGCCCGTCAGCGACGCGCACAGTTTGTCCGCATCGCCCGGGTGTTGACGGCAGGCCAGTGGCGTGCACCCGGCTCACCTGGAGGAGTAGAGGACCCGTCCGGTGCCGTAGAGCCGCACGAACTTGTTGGGCGTGGTGATCTTGTGTAGCTGACTGCGCCGGCCGTTGAAGAAGAACGTGTCCGGCCTCCAGATGCGCTCCAGTGTGGACACGCTCAGACTGAGCACGTCCAGACCGACGCCGTCGAAAGCCAGGCGTCTGTCCACCCACGACTGACGGAAGAAGCAATTCATCGAGTACGTCTGCAAGAGAGCGCCGGCTGTCAAATGGGTGCAGTCCGTCCGGCTCACCAGCAGTGCGGCTACCTTCGTTGATCGCGTCCCAAGTAGCGTCAGAACAACTGCCGCCATTTACTTTCCAACAACTACCATGAACGCTAGCACAGTGCAGCTCGCCAGCAACGGGCACCGTCCACAGGTTGTCCAAAACGGCCCCGCGTCCTCGTACCAGTATCGGGCCGGTCTGGGGACAGACGGACGGGCAGGATCTTCTCAAGCCGACAGTGTATGTACAAACTTCACGTACACTGTCCCCGGGGGGGGGGGGGGGGGAGGTGGAGGGCAGCATGCGTGGTGCTATCCGGGATTTTTGAAGGTCTCACTATCGCGGGGCCCTTTGTCAACCCTGTGATCCTCCCCTTGCCAAACCTCTGACTGCGCCCTGATTCATACCTACGAGACCATTCTTGTAGCGACACTCAACTTAATCAAGTGTGTTCCCTGTTATTTTTTGTTTATTTTTATTTCTTCAGGTTTGAAAAGATTCATTATTAGTAAATATGCTCTTCAATGCGTCATTGCTTAATTGCGTCCTAGAACGTTGAGGTGCTGCCAAATGGCCAAGCAAAATTCCCACCCCAGCTCACACTTGTAGTACTCTAATCTCCCGAAGGTGGCCGTGGCGGTGCTAAATGTCTGCTGAACCCAATCTCGCGATGCGCTCGTGGTTTCTTGCATTTAAATCGGTGAGTCTAAGGTGTATTTTAGTATCTACATTATCGGTTATTGCGCCATTCTTTACTTATTCGATTGCAGGTGTTATTTCTGTAGGAGCTAGCTCCCACGTCAAGATCGTTATTTCAGCTTAAAATTGATTGAGGGTCAATCGATTATCATATCCGGGAACATGTCGGCGATCGCTAGCTGAGAATGGCTTGGCGTTCATATATGTCCTGGGACTGAATGCTTTATCACCAGTGAAGTTGCAGGATTTGAATAATATTGTCATGGTTTCGTACATGCTTGAATGAGCTTGTAATATTCCGCACGTCTCCGCAGGCGTGTAGCTCAGACACGAGGGCGTTTTGGATCCTAACATGCGCCCGGGCGGGGGACGTTGACTTCCCCCTGAGAAACTCAGCTTACAGACGTTTTACGATAAATAGATGCCATTGGTCAAAAGATGTGTGGTCAAATCATAACAAACACGCATTCAAATTTTTACCTTACGACAAATGTAAGGTTAACAGAGGTCATAAAAGGACAAAAGGTTGATTTGATAGTTCGCTGATCTGATGATCTGATAGATATGTGAACATATCAAGACGGATATTGAGCGCACAGAAGTAAGTGTTCGGACTGTGGAAGTCCATTCCAACCATTTCAGTTCCCCAAAAGTGTCAGGTCATGTCAGGTTAAGATTCAAAATTGGTCTACCAGTAGCTTAGGATAAAGAAGCTTTTTGTTTTATTTCACAACGTACTTTTCACTAGACGTATTTTATTATGTGCAGCTGTGGGGAAAAAAATCCTTTAAAAACATCCAGAAAAATCCTAGAATGGCGAAGCTTTTTCTTTCGTTTCACAACATCCTTTGCACTAAGCGTATTTTATTAGATGCGGCTGTGGGTCAAAAGAAAAAATCCAGACATATTAATGCCAGTCTGGCCTAGAGGTCAGCTTGGGCCAGCTTAGGTCAAATTCATAAAGTATTCAGTTGAAAAAGATTTAGGTGCTAAAGATTTAAGTGCAGAAATAGTTTGTTCAATATTGACAGGCACACAACATTGCGCAGCTGCTGTATGCATTATGCATAGTCCATTTCACGCTTGGTAATATATTTGTAGCAGACTGAGAACGGCACGTTGGTACATGGAATTAGCTGTGATCAGCTTCACCAACACTATACAGAGGTGGTTTTACGCGTCACACGCATTCATCTAGCCTCTTCTCTACTGACAACAGAAGTCATTGACCTTGCATGGTCTCATATGACCTTGTGTGACCGCAAAGACCTCACGGTCATAACGTGATCCGCTGTGATCTCATTATGCATTAGAATATCACAACATGTTTCAGTAAAACACTCTAGTTCTGCGCCCAAAAATACCGAATACCGCAGCCTATTTTGAGCTCAGCATGTCCTTTGGAGAAGGCACACATAAAGGAATGTCATGACCTGGGCCAATGCCATATGCGCTGTGGTTATATAATGGTTGTGCATGTCACAGTACTCTTTTCCACATACACAAAAGTCAAAACTACAAAAAATGGGAATACATTGTTTAATATTAATGTAAAATAAACTAAAACAAAACCAAATTAACTAATTTTTTTAAAGTTAATCCCTTTGATCTGACCTAGGTCACCGATCTTGACGGGTCGAAACTTCAAATATGGTCATGGGGGCTTTGCTTCCTGAAATGCTTAATTAAGACGTAGGTTTACGGATGGTTAAATACAAGCCCATCACAGATCATCATGGTAAAGTTATGAATATGCTCTGAGTTTTTGGCGCCATTCTACACCAAGATGTATCATTTGTTGGCAGTTACCAAACTATTTTAATTACTTTGACCTACAGGCTTAACCCTACTCGTGACATTAACATGGCAGATTTTTGCTTTAGCATAAGGAAATATTCCATACTTAAGCATTCTGGTCAGCATTAAGCGCCGAACATCTTAAACACTATAATCTACATAATGCTGTATGGAGCGATATGAGGTTTCCGGCGGTCTGGTGCAGTGGCCTGTGGTCAGATCTCGCGGGAAACTCGCTTGTGTAGCCGGGCCAGCCATCGCACTTGAACATGTCTAGCTCTTGGGAGTCATAGTGGCTCACGCACAGGTACAAGCTGTTGCAATGCCCCAAAATGTTTCGTAATTTGACCCGTTCATTGACGTGATTAGTCGCTTTGAGATCATCGATACAGATGTTCCAGAGGTGGTAAAATCCGGACCTATCAAGTGTTATTTGCATCGGCCGCGTTGTTCTGCTGGTTTTAGAAGCACGGACGGGGGTAACAAATTTCACTTACCGCAGCAGCAACGCAGAGGTAGCTCACTGCCAGGTCGGCACCGGGTTAGCGTGATGTTATTGAATCGATAGGTACTCCAACATAAGGACTGTGGACAGAATGTAGGGAAGCCACGCATTTAGGCATACCACGGGCCGTCCCGTGCATGCGGGTAGATTGGTTAACCCCACCATCCCGTGCATACGGGTAGATTGATTAACCCCACCATCCCGTGCATACGGGTACGGGTAGATTGGTTAATCCCGCACAACTTCTGGCCTAATCGTAGTGCCGTCTCAATTAAACGAGGTTTAGGTTGTGGATAGGCCGCATTTCGGAATTTAAGTTCCACAGTGAAGCTCAAGCATCCTCCTCCCTGCTCAGTCCCGGTGTTAGACGATGCAAGCTGCTGAGCTAACACGATTGTGCGGAGACAAACGCCGCACCTGATGTAACAGCTGGACGGGTATTCGCTTTATGAAGTGACTGAAACTTCGCATGGTAAGGCACTTGCATTGAACGGTACAGATTGTCAACTAGTGCGAGTTCTGTCTCTTGAGATGTCGCTGATGTGATCGAAATCCCTTCCTCCCGACGTTACACGGCCAAAATGTATTTCTTTCTAGAAAGCCCTTCCGGTGGTAATCTGCCAATCAGTAGCAATCGCCTGCTGCTCCGGGGTGACAGGGACTGATCCAAGGAAGGCCACTGACTGATCCCTCTGAATAAGCCACAGCATCGCCGGGAAGCGTCGCCGTTGTGTGCTGCAGTGGTCAGGTTGTGGTCGAGGGCGAAAAAATCTCTCGGCTCGTGACCCGGAAACAGTACGGGCCACCAATTTAGCACGTAATGACTCGTCCTTGGTTATATCCTAACTACGGGGGAAGCAGTCAGAATATCCAGACAGCACTGTGGTCCGGTACCGACTATGAGGCAGTGAGAGGTTGAAGACTTTGATATAACTAAGAAGCACATGATCAACAATCACCGTCGTCCCGTGCCGATTACCGCAGGTTGTTCTGCTGAACATGACCGGATGAAAGACCCCTGACAGGAGCACAATCAACATGTTTGTCTGATCCTTCCCTATATGTTTATGTTCGCCACTTATAGGGGTTCTCACGTTTATTCGCGGCTGCAAAAAGCTCTTATTTTGTTTGTGAGAATGCATACAAGTTAAAGCTTGATCAATTGATTGAAATGATTGATTAAGCCTTGATCATCCATCGTCAGGACACGTGAGGTAGGAATGGCTAGTGAGGCCGGACCGGTCCGCTACCATTAACAGTCCATGTTACCTCCCGTGTCTCAGCGTGCAGCAACAGGCCCGGGGGACGGACCGTCCCCTGACGCCCGGGGAATCTCGCCCGTCATTGCATCCCGGTCGGTGATCATACACGTGGCTCGCCCGACTCCTGCCCCGATAATGCTCCACATGACAGCCCGGCTCGTTACGCGCCGGAAATGGACGAGATTTCGACGCTCCCCCCCCCCCCCCCCCCATTCCCGCATGCTCATTAGCCGATACAGTCATACGGGTATAACATGCAGCCGCATAGGCAGCACACACACGAATACACGAGTCTTCACAGAGTGGCGGTGAGAATACCCATGTTTCTGTTGGGTTTTGGTTTCAGTTGGTTCAATTCTGAACAAACTTTGTAAAAGCAAAATAACAGCGATTTTCACACGTAGTATATGCTGAGCAATCCCGTCACTTCCTCATGCTTCTCGAAATTATTTGTCATTCCATACAAGGCAATGGGATGCTTACCAGGTCCGTTTCAGAGATAGGTCCCATGCTCTTCAGCTGGATATCGACCTCGACGACGGTGGGCGGGCCTGAAAGGGACAGCAGTGCCACCCGTCAGTCGCGCGGCTTGTTCGGAGGGCTCCCGTCCCGCCTCACCAGTGCCCCCGGTGGGGGGGGGGGGGCAGGGGGCACATTATCTGATAAGAGAGCACACGCCCACATATGCCAGTGAGACTGGTGCCTCACGCCGATGGGAGAACCAGGAACAATGCGGGGCTCTATTTTGGCCAGAGACGGCCAACACCGAACAGTTGGCTCCTTGTCGGTCCTGCGTCCTGGGGCCCATTTACCAAACAGGAAAGCATTTGCCAAGATATGCAAAGGCCGGGCCCGCCATTTGCTTTGGCCGCGGTCCCTGAAACAGTAATGGGCCCCTGTGTCAGTCAGGGGCCCACAGTACCTGGCATGGGCCTTTCCTTGGTAAGTGGCCCAAAGATAGCCAGGGCCCGTTATCGATAGAGCCCGAAGAGGACCCAAAGAGGGGCCAGAAGGGTCCCTCGGACCAAGACCCAAAGATCAACGGCTTGAATGGAAGGCGGCTGAAGGACTCGAAGGGCCAGAAGACCTGGCTGTGTGTCAGAATAAGAAGTTACGCCCGGAGGGCTGAGACCTCGAATGTCAGCCAGGGTGATCCTCACATCGATCAGGCACCACCGGGGACAATGTGGGTCACTTCTCAGCCAGAGACCACGTACACCGAGCCATCGCCTCCGTACAGGCCGAAGCCCTGAGGCCCCTTTCCCAAGCAGGGACGAGGCCGGGCACGCGATTTTCATTGGTCGTGGACCCTGCAGCAACGAGGCGCCCTGTGTTAGTCAGGAACCACATTACTTAAAGGGCTCTGTGTCAGCAAGGGGTCTCGAGCCGGCCAGGGTAACAAATTGGTAAAAGATGGGCCCTCCACCCCATTTCTGCTGAGAGACCGTCAAGCAGAACCGGAGTCTCTGACAGTCATCGGACCGCCTGCGGCCATAAAGGACCGTGTTGCGTTAATGAGGACTCCCGCATCGATGTGGGACCTACTGCCCAAGTCAGACAGTGATCCCTCCCGCGCCAGGAAGGGGACCAATGCATGATGCATCTCTCCAAGAACCTCCGGATCGACCAGGGGACCCCACCACGTGTCGCTAAAAAAGGCAGTCGGTCGGCACCCCGCGCTGGGATGGATGACCCTTCAGACCCTGGACGCAGACGATAATGTGCCCGCTTATATTATACGCACGGGGCCCGTTGTCCAGAAAAAGGTGAGGGCTCTTATTAATGTTAAGTAGAGTGGATGGAAATGGGGCCACGCATAGAGAAAAGGCCGGGTTTGCAGTCCTTCCTTTATTTTTGATCCCATGTTTGCTCGAGAACGTCCATCACTTCGCAGAACTAAGTTGTGAAAAAATCACATCAAAAGATTTCAGCCTGCACGCTCACAATCTCAGAAGCAAGAACAGCTACGGCCGACGTTGCCGTGTTCGTAAAACTGCACGGCGTTGGCAGCTGAAAATAACACCCGGCGGCGGGTGCCGGGCGCGCCAGAACGACAGTCGTGAAATAATGCTTAAAAAATATATTCAAATTTCGTTTCTTGCAAAATTCGTACGGCCCCTAGACTCGGCTGAGTCGTTTATTTAACCTTAATAGTTTTGAGCACGTCCTCTTAAACAGATAAACATCCGCAGCGAAATGAAAAAGATTCCATCTTAAATCTGCCAGTTCCACCTCCAGATTCCAGCGCCGCTTGGCGATGCTGTAAATGTTAGTCCGTTCCTATCATCAATCTAAAAATCGCGCAGGTAAAATATCCCCATTACGGCGCCATAAGCGTGCAAATTGTTGTGTTTAATCGTTCAAAGGCACTTCCTTCAGAGGCCCATCATTTTCGTCCACCGATTGGCCACCGCCTAGCAATAGCCGCAGGGCCGACTCTTGGCTGCCTGTGGAGGCTGCAACGCCGGGTGTCCGGCATTTGTTTCGCAAGATTTGTAAGGACGCGTAATGAAAATCACGTTACACTTTTTTGAAGTTATAGTTTTTTACTGAGGGTCTAGACTTCCCAGGCAAACCTTTTCGGCATGTTCACACATTTTTACATCATTTCGATCCACAGTCAGTTTGTGTTGCACCTACGGGTTAACCCTACCGTTTCTACCACAGTGTCGAAATAAGCTGTCATCATTCACATATTAGACTTGAGCGTATATTCTACCTTCGAAACTTTGAGGATGTCCTTTGGACGGACTGAACGGTTACAATAAAACGGGAAGGAGAGTTTCTTCTTCCAGTCTACGCCATCATTTTCGTCCACCGTTGGCCGCCGCCGGGTGTTAACCTCAAGCATGACGCGGTGCGGTCTACGGAGACTGCATCGTCGGGTATCAGGGAGTTTGTTTCTTAGACTTGCCAGCGGGCATGTTCAAAACTATGTTACATCATTGCTTTTCCATGAACAGATTCTGATGGAAGGCTGAAAATTCCCAACTGAACACAAGCTAGCCATGTTGGTAGAAATGTGCCATCCCGTTTCGATCTACAATGTATGCTCACGGGGCCATTAATATCCACATAAAACCAAGCAAAGATATGCCGAAGCTTTTTACTTCATCGGTTCGGAAAGAATCCGCTGAGCAATTGTAAAATAGACAGGACCGGCGCAGCAGCCATTCAATATATCCTGCAGCCATTTAACGCCCGCTTCCTTCCGGGCAAACCGAACTGACAGAACAGACTTCAAAACAGACCTAAAAACACAAAACAGAATTACGTCTTCCGGCAGCTTCTGGCTTCTGCTCCAGTTAAAGATTGAAACAAGGAAAAAACCAAGGAGATCGTGCCCTTCAAAAACAAGTGTGCCTAACCCGTTTTTTGAAACGGGGGGGGGGAGGGGTTCATTATCAGGCTGGGCCTTTGTCAACCCTGTATTATCAAGGCCTTTACAACCTCATGCCCTTAGACAAGCCTCGGGTCTATCAGCTGTTGGGCTCTGTCTTAGGCCGGAAGCTTAGGGAAGGGCCCGATGTCATGAGGCAAGTAAGACTCGTTATCCTTTGGGTGGCTCATCATCATTTGGCCGTCCTGCTGAATGGCTGTGTGGCGGTCTGTGTTCCACCCAACAGCTCCTCGAGTATGGCGGCCTGTGTTGCGCCCAACAGCTCCTCGCCTTACTCGGATCGTTTTGTGGCATCTTCCTCCAAAACAACGCATGCATCGCTGTACCTGTGTCCTGATTCGAGGATAACTGCCAATGGCTTTCCTTTCCATTTCCCGCTCGTTGTAGTAGCCTGTTTCCAGAAATATGGTATTACTGGAGGAGGACGGACACCCTTGTTCTAGCAAAGGGTGAAGCATGCCTTTTCCCTTTCCAGGGTGCAGTCGATGAGGGCTCCCATACTAATGCGTCAGTTACATACACACACCACATCACGTTGTCCGGCATAGGCTCTTCAGGGACGTGAACTTGTCATATATCGAATGGGAAACACCATTGTTCCAGGAAATTAATATTTTCCCACGACCAAATGCACTTCTCTGAACATTTTCACCTAGTTGGCAGAAAGGCACACGAGAAGTATCGTCAGTGGACGTATCGTACTTACGCCTAACAAAGCGAGGAGGTACATCTCACGATATTCCGGTATGTGCAATAGCTGAGCTTGACTGGATGTCCTGCTCTGACACTCACCACCAAAATCTGGCCGCAGATTGCTGTCGTATCCCTGCAGCAGACTGTTCAGCAGACCGGAGACGTTCGCGTGGTTGTTCTGCTGAGGCGCGGAGCAGCTGCAAGCAAAGGAGGAATATTGGTGGGACATAGCTCTGGACAGAGCAGCGCGGAGGGACAATTGGCGGGGCATAGCTCTGGACAGAGCGGCGCAGGGTATCCATAGGCGAGATGTAGCTCTGAACAGAGAAGCGCAAGGGGAACTATTGGCGGGGCATAGCTCTGAATAGAGCGGCGCAGGGGGCTATTGGCGGGACATAGCTATGGACAGAGCGTCTCAGGGGTGGGATATAGCTGTGGACAGAGCGTCTCAGAGGTGGGATATAGCTATGGACAGAGCGTCTCAGGGGGTGGGATGTAGCTGTGGACAGAGCGTCTCAGGGGGTGGGATATAGCTATGGACAGAGCGTCTCAGGGGTGGGATATAGCTGTGGACAGAGCGTCTCAGGGGTGGGATATAGCTGTGGACAGAGCGTCTCAGAGGTGGGATATAGCTATGGACAGAGCGTCTCAGAGGTGGGATATAGCTATGGACAGAGCGTCTCAGAGGTGGGATATAGCTATGGACAGAGCGTCTCAGGGGGTGGGATATAGATGTGGACAGAAGCGTCCTCAGAGGTGGGATATAGCTATGGACAAGAGTGTCTCAGGGGTGGGATATAGCTATGGACAGAGGCGTCGCAGGGGTGGGATGTAGCTATGGACAGAGCGTCTCAGGGGGTGGGATATAGCTATGGACAGAGCGTCTCAGAGGTGGGATATAGCTATGGACAGAGCGTCTCAGGGGTGGGATATAGCTATGGACAGAGCGTCTCAGGGGGTGGGATGTAGCTATGGACAGAGTGTCTCAGGGGGGGGGATATAGCTATGGACAGAGCGTCTCAGGGGGTGGGATATAGCTATGGACAGGGCGTCTCAGGGGTGAGATATAGCTATGGACAGAGCGTCTCAGAGGTGGGATATAGCTATGGACAGAGCGTCTCAGGGGTGGGATATAGCTATGGACAGGGCGTCTCAGGGGTGAGATATAGCTATGGACAGAGCGTCTCAGAGGTGGGATATAGCTATGGACAGAGCGTCTCAGGGGTGGGATATAGCTATGGACAGGGCGTCTCAGGGGTGAGATATAGCTATGGACAGAGCGTCTCAGAGGTGGGATATAGCTATGGACAGAGCAGCGCAGGAGATCCATTGGCTGGATATTGCTCATAGCTCATAGTCCGGAGTGATGACGGACCACGGCGGCCTCAGCTCCGAGCCAAGCAGGTAAGGCTTATTGATATTATTATTTTATCACCGATGAAGCTTAGTTGATGATAACAGAGCCAATTCCGGATTAGGAATATCTCTACGCCGTTGTTTCAAAGTCTTTTTTAAATATTTTGGAACGTGTAAATAAGGTATAATGCATGAGGACAGTGAGAGGTGCCGGTGGGTGTAGCAGGTACTCACCGAAGTCATGGATAAAACAGACAACTGACAGTGTCAACCGTCATAAATGGTCGTCTGATCATTCTAGTGGCCCGGGTCTACCAATGCCGACACCACAGCTCCCCAGGGGTGGGGGGGGGGGGGGGGCGCCTGAGAATGGATCGGCCCCTCCATCGAGAGCAGCGGGCACGACAGCATGCGAGGGTTCAGGTCAGGAGGAGCTTACCCTCAGATGTTGGCGGCCGAAACAAAATGGCGGCCGATGGGAACAAATGTACTGGGCCCGTGTGCTTCAGTCTCGTCCGGAAGACCCCCATTTTTACGCCGACTTGGACAGATGTATACGTTCAGGCAGAAAGTTCACCGTCTGACATATGTATGTCAATTTCTTGATGCCCACCCCATATCTTTTTTAGCTCAAAATTTTGCAACTTACATTCATTTTCACCATTAACATTACCGACTTAAGCTCTCTTCCTTCCCACGTCTGTCCACTATATTTGAAAACTCTGATTTGGGAAGTTCAGGGAGACTTGGTAGCTCAACTTGTGAAAACACCGACCCGTAATTGAGGCATAAATTGATAATGAAATATACCACGTGTTTGGATTTTAGTGATACCAGATCGGCGTGCGACTCAGTGTGTCTCAGTCATGCATACTCAGCAATGCACATCTAAATTACGAGCACTCGCTGTTGTTTTCAGCTGCGGCGTCTGGAAAACGTTGCTCAAGGCATTGGCAAGGTGAGCTTATCACATCAGGTGAGCACAGCGAAGGCCCAATGGAATACACGTGAGCGGTCAAAATGCGCACATGTATTGTCCGGAAACATCAACGGGCACATGAGCTATTGATTTGCTCAGAGATCATCACTTGTCCTGGCGTGCAAGAGACGTCAGCAGACGGGGCGTCAGCGCTGCGCCGCCGCTGTCCGGGGCTCTGTGCATCCACCCGCAGTGTCCGCCGCCACGCCGAGATGCTCCGGCCGTAGCAGGCAGGGGTGACAGGCAGGGGTCGCTGTCCCAGCCGGCCTGTTTAGCACTGTCCGCGCTGAGGGGGCGGACCGTCGCCAGCCCTGGCGCTAATTGTCACCAGGCGGGGGCACATGACTGTACCCAGGCTGACTCGTGACTCGCTGTCACTCAGCGCCGTGCCGCGCCGTCGCCTGGGATCTGCCGTGGGCGTTGATTGGTTGCAGCGTGTGTTGTCCAGCTGGACGGCAGCGTCTTGAACGCTGTTAGCACTAATAATATTGGACTCATTTAATTACAACCTGCGTTGCTATAAAAATGACCAAACACGCAGCAGATACAGATGTTTTGCTTCATATATTACCAGAATCCAAAAAATTTGGAAGCATATAAATAACTCCGTAAATAAAACAATGTACATGTATATGGTACCAACAGTACTGAAAAGTTCATTAATTTGGTCATACTGCGTGCTCCATACAAGCGCAACGTTTCACTTTCCCAAAGGTTTTCGGAGGCAGTGACGGGCTGAAGGATTTTGATATATCAAAGAAGCACGTAACCTGTTTCACAGTTTTTTATTTGGATCCGCCATCTCTCGGCGCACAAGCATCTATAAAACCAGGTCCCCGAATGAAGTTTTTACGTTCAGCTTAGGGTGGAGATTACGACTAGGCAGCAATTCCAAGATATTAAGGTTTTCATTGTCTTAAGCTGTTGCTAGTTTGTTTGTTTTGCTTTGTTTTGTTTTAAGCTTGGCATTTCTTGCGCCACGCTCCATTGTTACGTGTTATGAGTTCTTGTATATTAATGGTGTGTCCTCCCCGTAGACGAGCGTCTCTTAGGTGTTCATCAAACTGGTCACGAATGCTACACTCTGATTCTCCTGCATAAAATATCTCTGGACGCAGTTCACATGATATCTGTCATGCTATTTTCTCGCACGTGCATTTTTTCCTTTTTTATCCATTCATGCATATGCGGCAAATCCTACCCCAATCTGGAGACGTAATGGTCTCCAGCGCTTATGGTATTAGGATGGGCTCTAAACCAGGACCATTAGTCCTTGCTGCGCAAAAGGAAGTGCACTCTATTCGATCGTAAATCGGCGTTGCAAGCGTAAAGTAACATTACACATATTTATTGATGTTAATCATACATAAATATGCCGATGCATGAACGAAAAGCTTGTTTGGTACAAAACATGCAAGCATAAGAGTGAGTGCATTACATGACTATAATCTCGGTCCTAATCGTCGATTAGACTGTTAATACCGGCCGCAAGTGTTGAAATAAAATTTGAGACCGATATCTAAGTTAGGTCATCGTTGTTTTTTCTGAACGGTAATTTAAAGACCTTCCATTGCAAATCAGTATTAACAAAACTGAAGCAAAGGTCTTCCGAAAGTGAGATCAGAGGTCGCACTAAGATGCAGTATGTACCTAACAGATCTTGCATATTTTTTTACCCATGCCCTAAAAAGTATAGATATCTAGCTTTCTGGCGCACTTTTACCAAACATTGTGTCCCGTAGACTGTCCTCACTAGAACAAGATGAAAACAGAGTTCGTGACGTCATCGTGCATATTCACCTGCTCCTAGCTCCATATCGGTATGCCGTACTGCTCTAAAAGCGGCAGAGTTTGGCCTTGGCCGCATGATTACATCATTGACGTATCTTCGTCAAATTTGAACGGGTGTCGTGTTGAAATGCGCCAATTTGCGGGCGTTTGTCATGGAATTCTCCACCTGTTGCATGGCTTCTCTGATTAGTCTGTCGCAGAATGTCACCGGGCTTGTACGTCTCATTATTACCGTAGAAGTGATCCGGCTTGCACTCTCCAATATGTGTTCAAGCTTGTCATCTACGGAATGTTTGTTGTCGGCGATGATCATGTCACTGGCTTGCGTTCGAGTTCTTCCACGGGATTCTGTGATGCTTTTGAACGTCGCTTGATCGCCCACAATGCCCTGAGGCATTTGTTGGCGTTCATCGCTATCAAGCATCGCACATATTATTTTGAATCAGAATATGTCTTATGTTTTCATGAACATCGGTAATTTTCTACAAAAGCATTCACGTGAAGCGAAACAAACTACACAGCTCGTGGTACCTACATCTACAGCGTAACAAACGCTATGCCAACTGCAGTTCTATCCATCCATCTATATATCTATCTACCTATCTATCTATATATCCATCCACATATGCATAAACACACACACACACACACACACACACACACACACATGTATATATATATATATATATATATATATACATGCATTTCAACAAACTTATTCTATTCCGAAAGCATTCCTCGATGCTAAAGTTAAGCCTGCGTGTGTGTGTGTGTGTGTGTGTCATTGAGGCATCACGACGCACTCAGCTGCAAAGGCTATATGGCGTCGCCTGCCTCACCCTGACAGGAAGGGAGGGCACCGTGGGGAATCGAACCCCTTACCTCTGGTTTCCCCAGACACGCCGAGGTTAACGCAGGCACGTTAACCACTACACTGCCAGCAACCCTAAATTTAGGCCTGATATAAGTTCTAGTCTGGCTTCCAACGTGTCCAGAGCGATCAGATCTTTGATGTCCACTAAGTGTCATCAACATATCGCACGTACATATGAGGTTTAATGACATCATCGGCGAGAGCTTCTTGCTCAGCCGAGGATATGAAAGGCTCAGGCAAACAAAACTCCAAATGGTGAGCCCATTGCGATGCCATCTGTTTGGCAAAACCGCGGCCCTTCAGGGCATCGGAAGAGTGCCTTGGGTTTGCACAGTCTCAACATCGCACGCATGTGGTCAGGAATGTCTGATGCGGGCAAAGTTTCATGACGGTAGTCGTATCGGGCTAGTATGTCAACAGTCCGTTTGACAAGAATATTTGTGAACTGGCATGCAGGGATGCTCATATGCCTAGCCTTATTCCTGTTTTTAGTAAATCGACGAATGGGACCCTCTCATTAACAAACAAACAAATGCGCGTGGAACCCTTGGTCTGAACGGATAGCAACCATTAGGGCGAAGAGCACATGGTCCTTGAGCGTTTTGCATGCCGCGAATAAACATTGTCACCTGTCAATGAAAAGCATATGTGATGCGTAAATGCTTATGCCTATATCGCGATATGTATGTAATATATTTGCGCAATACCGGTTTTGCAAGAACTGATGTATGTATACATGAGACTCATGCTAGAATAGTCACGGGAGACCTTTTATTTTACAAAGATGCGATTTCATCGGCTTTGTCTCAAGCCGTGACTCTAGGAAATTTGCAATAAAGGATGACACGCTGGGAATATAACTAATGCCAGACCATGCAACATGACGATCTATACCTTCTTTGTACCGTGAGGTTTGGTGTCATTTTACACGAACAACGAGAAGAAGAGAAATGTTGTCATCAGATGCATTGAGAAAGCGTAAAAAAAGATCAGCAATGCTGAGTCGCTGTATTTTTCAATAAAGCTATCCCTTCTCTCTCTCTCTCCCTCTCTCTCTCTCTCTCTCTCTCTCTCTCTCTCTCTCTCTCTCTCCTCTCTCTCTCTCTCTCTCTCTCTCTCTCTCTCTCTCTCTCTCTCTCTCTCTCTCTCTCTCTCTCTCTCTCCTCTCTCTCTCTCTCTCTCTCTCTCTTTACTCTATGCATACTGATTTAATGACTGTTTTCATCTACGTCTAGATGTTTTTGGATATGCGATGCATCTGAACACTGCCAACCCTTCCGCCAATTCATGGGAATCTCTGGTATCGGATGGTACCTATGGGTTTTGATATCACCACAACATGACATCAGAATGCATTATAACCTGACTAGCAGACTTACCTTGCATTGTGCGTGGCGCATACCCACAGCAGCGTGACGGACAGGCAACAGGGCGGCCTACGGAAAACAGGGAGACCCGACATCAGTAACTCCTCCCTCACAAACTCTCAGAAGCGAACAAATCAGCGATCAACGCAGATATTACGAAGCAAAAAAGAACCATTTGAAAACAGAGCACCAATCATTGAACAAAATCGTGCAGGACATGTTTCACACAAATGCCTAAAATTTGCAGCTGCTCGTACGCTCAGGCGTGGGATGACCTTCACCGACGAGAGATCAACCCCTGTGCATGGTCCGCCGGCGGGACGGGTGGAGAAGGAGCTAGGGCTGAGCTGCCCTGGCGGCGTTCAATACACCAATCTGGTTGATCGCATTAGCGTTACACGGCTGGTGCGCCCTCGGTCGCCACTGAAAGTCGTAATCGAATCGGCCCCAGATCCTGTTGTGACGGCGCTGCCTCATTACGCGGTTGCCAGATAAGGACCGCTTGCCTGGTCTGCATTACCCGGTTACCAGATAGGGATCACCTGCCTGGTCTGCACTACACGGTTGCCAGATAAGGACCGCTTGCCTGGTCTGCATTAAACGGTTACCAGATGAGGACCGCTTGCCTGGTCTGCATGACCCGGTTACCAGATAAGGACCGCTTGCCTGGTCTGCATTACTCGGTTATCAGATACGGATCGTTTGCCCGGTCTGCATTGAACGGTTGCCAGGTAAGGACCGCTTGCCTGGTCTGCATTGCACGGTTACCAGATGCGAATCGTTTGCCCGGTCTGCACACGGTTACCAGATCGGGATCGCTTACTCGATTTGCACTACCCCGTTACCGGACTAGGATCGCTTGCGTGGTCTGCTGGGTGTGAATCGTCTTCAACATTTGTCGCATGTCGTTGAAGGTTACCTACACTCGTTGAAAACACAACTCCACAGATACAACTGTTCTTTGTTGGCCGTTGTATACCGTGTTGTGAATTCTTGGGGAGGCCTAATTGTACAAGTCAGAAAGTCCTATTAAAATGTGAAATATGTTTACAAACGGACCACTCGTGTATTGACACGAAGTAAGACCGGTCAAGCAGCCGTCGCACTGCGAGCGCCCCGCCCGGCTCGGCGGCCAGGATCTGCCCCACCCGAACCTTACACCGACCACAGCGTCTTACGCATGGACTTGGCCGCCCCCTCTCCCATAGACAGCTCCTGCGGAGCAAGTCACATCAACGGGCTCAGTGAACGCTGTCGAACGCTGTCAACCACAAGATGTGAGGATGCCCAGGTGATGCATGGCGACATGCAAGCAGCTGACGAAAGGAGGGGATCCTCGTGGTGGAAGATAATTAAAATGTTCGGGCATTCGAGTTCTCGAGCTCCGCAATTTTTATGATTGCGGACAGCTATAAAGCTTCATACGTAGCGGTAAAGTTATTGAGAGCACGTCTTCGGTCTTTTGGTAAATGACTTATCAACGAACACCTTTCAAATGAGACAACCTACCCCACCCCGGGGTAAATTGTATCACATAGTGGGGAAAGTTGTGCTTATGCGCATTTTTCGTACAGTAAGCTGCATCGTAGGCACGCTGAATGCCTTGTGATGTCTGGATCGAATGCGCTTGTCAGTGCTATTCCATAATTTGTCGGGGTTGCGATAAAACAAATGTTTGCCCGTTTTATCAATCAGGGTTTGTTTTACGACTACTACCACCTCGGTTTCGGTTGTTCAGGTGCAAATTGTGGATTTCCACGTCCAGGTAATGTAAATCCCGACTTGTTGTCTACGTATCAATAAGCCATGACAAGCACATCGCTCCATGATTGACGGTGGGTTAACACGCGCTTGGGTGGGAGGTCAAATTGGCCCCTACCCCGCGAAGATTTTTCAGAAGTGGTTTCCTAACGGCACAGCGTAGACACGACAAGTTTTGCATGACTGTAGACAATTCGGATTTTTTGTTGCAAGGAAATTCAGAGGTACCTTGTAGGGCCGTTGAGCTACGGTAGACCAAAGTCAGGCCATGGTTTCAGCGAAGCTAATTCCTAGGGAATGCTTTAATTTGATGCAACAACAGAGTGTTAGGCAAAGCCATACATCTCTGAGATACTTTTTTGGCATTTTTACAATGGACTGAGCAAAGCGCATTGACCTAAGGTCGGGTATGAAGATCGGAGCAAGGCCAAAACCAACCAATTTTATTTCTCTAGGGCTTGCTGCATGGGGTAGATTCTGGCGCTCATTTCGAATTTATTGATGACATGAGCCGCATTATGCACCTTCCGTGGACTTCCTAATAATCAGAAAAGATCATTCACCTAGAATGACGCTGTTCAACAATTTGTTTTAGGAAGATGCTGCCTAGCGTTATCTTTGTCGCCTGTTCAAATGCAAACCTCAAAGCAGTCTTGTATTATTTTGGTCAAAAGGCCAAAAAAGGTCACTGATATTATGTGAACATGGGAACTTTTGCTTAGAACAGTTCTCTAAGTTGTGGGACGCTGTTAAGAACGACATGGAATTTGACCTTGTTTGAGCCTATTTGACTCGAAGTTCACGACCTAGGAACCTCAACCTTTGACCTAAGGGAGTTCACATACGGGTCAATACACTCTGTGAATTTGGCGTCTCTACCTCTCTTAGTTCCTGCGATCTCAGAGGGTCAAATTGTTCCCCATCCGAGCGAAGAGTATCCAACCGGCCACTCGGGTGCATGTTAACACGCGCTCGGGTGAGGGGGCAAATTGACCTCCTCAGAAGGTTTTTCCGGAATGGTTTCCGAACGGCGCAGCGTAGCCGCGCTACATTTTGCGTAAATTGTAGACGATTGAATAGCGGATCGTCTGGCATCAAAAATTAGCTGTACCTTGTAAGGTCGACGACCTATGACAGGTCAAGGTCAGGCCATGGTTTCAGCGAAGGCAATTTTTGGGGAATCGTTCAATCTGGTCCGACAACGGAGTGCTAGACGAAGCCATACCCCTCCGAGATACTTCCTCAGGCAACGCAACAATTGAATGAACAAATCATTGACTTAGGGTCAGGTATGAAGGTAAGACCAAGGTCACAACCGGCCCGTTTTATTACTCTAGGGATTGCTGTATGGAGTAGTTTCTGGTGCTCAGTTCAAATTTATTTATAACAGGAACCGCATTATAAGCCTTCCATGGATCTCTCTAAGGTCAGAACAGGTCACTGACCTAAATGATACAGGTCAACACTTTGCTTTTAGAAACAAACTTGCCTAGTGTAATCTGTGTCGCTCATTCACATGCAAAACCCAAAGCAGTCTTGTATGACTGGTCGCCATGACCTTCAAAAGGTCAAGAGAGGTCACTGACCTTAACTGAGCATGTGACCTGTTGCTTTGAACAGTTGTCTAGGTTCTAGGGGTCCTTTGAAGACCAACCTAAAATTTGATCTTATTTGAGCCCGAGGTCATGACCCAGGAACCTCAAACTTTGACCTAAGTGAGTTCATGTATGGGTTAGTACACCTACACCTGTCTCTAGCTCTATTAGTTCCTGAGAGCTCGGAGGGGTCAAATTGACCCCCCCCCGAGTGAAGGATATCCAGGCGGCCACCCGGTCGCGTGTTAATCAATAAAATGTTGTCAGTACATTGTATCGATACAACCTGTCCCATGCGCAGCTGATACATGTATCATCCGATCTCTTGGAGGAAAGCTCGCGCTACCCTGAAATCCTTGGCTAGCAGATGCCAAATGCTTTAAAGTATTATGACACGTACAGTTCCTTAATACTTAGTGTAGCATTCAGATTTGTCTCACTGTGCCGTATGCCCTTAAACGCACATTTACACCGATTGCTTTAGTTTTAAACGATGTGCAAAAAACACACTATTCGCGCTGACACCAATACGAGTGCCCGCACGTTACCGGAGGTACACTGAAAGGTAAAGTAAGCCGCTGTACGTCTGTTGAGTGACTCGAGACTGCCATTTGCCGCATATATTTAGAGTAAATTGCCCGGCCCCACATGAACATGACGCAACTCGCCCCTCTCTCCCTCGCCCCTGGAGACTTGGACAAGGACATTTTCAATGTCAGGGACACTGCTCCCTCTCCCGGCGAGGATCGATCGCAAGCCATCGGGAGAGACACAAACCGTTTTTTATAAACTATTGACGTACGATACTTGGCCGGGTGGCACTGAGGAGAGGGAGTTTTTATGCGAGCTGCCGAGGTCACGACTTCCGTCGTCCGGTAATCTCGGTAATCCTTGCCATGTTTCTACAGAGGCAGAATACGTGAGGTAGCATTGATCCTGCCGACCAATGATTCGGTGTCATGCACATACTCTTCCTGCATGCCGTAGACAGACTCGTCATATGTCCCACTCGCCGAGCACCTGTTTCGCTGCCGTTCATGAAGTCATCAATGATTCGAAGGTCGTGTTTCGTCCTGTTCGGTCTGTTACTTTTGATCACATTTATGCAATAACACCTCTCAGTGAGCTACTCAGCTATCCCGAGTAAAGCGCAGCTTATCGTGACAAGCTGCGCGTGCAAAAACAATAACACCTCTCAGCGAGCTACTCAGCTATCCCGAGCGAAGCGCAGCTTATCGTGATAAGCTGCGCGTGCAAAAAACAAGCCTAACTACACGCTTTGCTCGCTCACCCGCTGGTAAGAGCTGTGCATTCCTGAGCGAAAACTTCGCTCGTACAGGCGCGTATTCGAGGGTATGCCAAGAGAGCCATGCCCCCCCCCCCCCCCCCGAGCGCGGTGGGCATACACACAGCTCACTGTCCCGCTCACTTTATATATACTACCCTCAACAAGAGATACCAGACATACCAGACCATATCCTAGAAATGTCATTCCACATGCGCAGGATTTTGGAGAACAGCTGAAATTTTCTTGAAATTGAAAAATGAAAAAAACATTCTCTTGCAGAAATTTGGGCCATGTACCTGAGCACGCAACTGTGATTCTTCTAAACCAAAGAAGGGCACGTTTAGGTACGGACGTTACCGCCACGCTACAGACTGCTGTCCGCCTTCTCTCCCCCCCCCCCCCACACGTTAGCGATATTGCGACCA